TCTAACTCATGCTCCATCTGCTCTAGGCTACACTCTCTCTCCTGAGTTCTAACCAGAATGACCAAATGTCTCAGTTGGATGGGGACAGCTCAGGACCCAGACCCTCTTTACTCTCAAAAGTCCAAGTTTTAGACAACATATTATATGGTCACACTAATTGTAATATATTTTGAATCCTCTCCTTCCCTGAAAACAAACCTAACATTTCAAGATTATTAGATAGAAATTCTAGAAGTGACTACCACCTCATTGCCATGTTTGGAGAATGCCTGAAGTCCAGGTCAGTCCTTGAACCGCTCCCCTGACACCTAAAAATCTCCCCATCCTTGCTCTTCCTTTATACTCTCAGGTCCCAGCCCACTGGTCCAATTCCTGCTGAAGAGTTGGCATTCCTCTAGCAAGAGATGCTCCAGAGAGGACTAGAAGACAGTCTCATTGACAGTGGCCTAACTTTGAGGACCACCATCCCCTCAAAGGAGTTTGCAGAAGTCATTCCAGTTTCCTAATAAGATATTTAAGATGACAGCAATGTGCAAAACATCAATCCATCTTTCATTTCTCATTGGACCTTGGAACAGAGGGCAGAACACCAGCCTCAGAGGACCTAATTGCTTCCCTAGCTAAATCAAAATTGCTAGGTATAAGGCCAGCTGAGTGGCTCACTTGGTTAAGAGTGTGAGCTCTGAGCAATAGGATTGCTGGTTTGATTTCCACATGGGCCAGTGAGCTACACCAGAGCTGAGCTGCCACTGAACTGCCAACAGGTGGCAGGATGGCTCAGCTGGTGAGAGCATGTGCTCCTAACAGCAGGGTTGCTGGTTCAACTCCCGTATGGGATGGTGGATTGTGTACCCCGCAACTAAGATTGAACATGGCACCTTGAGTTGAACTGCCCTGAGCTGCTGACGGGCGGCCAGATGGCTCAGTGGTTAGAGGTATGCTCTTAGCAACAAGGTTTCTGGTCCGACTCCTGCATAGTATGGTGGGCTACGCCCACCCCTAACTAAGATTGAAGACGGCATCTTGAGCTGAGTGGCCGGGAGCTGCAGTCGGGCGGCTGGATGGTGACTGGGCTTGGAGCTGATCTAGCTGTGCCCTCCACAACTAAGATTGAAGGACAACAACTTGGCTGTTCCCCTTCCCCAATTCTCCAATAAAATATTTAAAAAATAATTAAATTAAATTAAATTAAATTTGGGTCAGATCTGAATCCCTCTTCAATGGCTCCTTATTTTAAAAAAAATTGCTAGGTATAGATGAAATAGGAGAAGTTTGCCTCATGATGCCTCTGGCCCTTGTACCTAAACCCTCTTCCACCTTTTGTCAGATGTTTCCTCCTCTGTCCTTTCTCCTAGTGATTGCCATTGCTCCATTTTCATCAAAACTTGCTATAAAATCTTTTATTTATACCCTCAAAACTTTGGTTTCCACTGGAATGTAATGAAAAAAAGAAGCATAAAGTGTTTCCTCTCCCAGGGACCTTTGTGTTTTAGTAGAAATTGAAGTCTGATTCCAGTGGTTTCTAACATTGGCCTAAATAAGAATAACTTGGAGAGCTTGCTAAAATGCATATTGATGGGCTCCAACCTCCAAGAATCTGATTTAACAGTTTTGGAGTAAGGCCCAAGAATCGGTTTGTATCAAGCATCCCAAGTGATTCTGATGGGCGGTCAGAAACCACACTTGATGAATTCCCTAAGTTAAAGGGAGAAGACACTAATTCTAGAATTGCACATGTCACTTGTGAAAGGAGAAGACTTTATTGGGTATCAGGAATCATGCCACAAAGATAATTGCAGACAAATATATTAACTATATTTTCTGATTCCCAAACTGTCACAGGGAATGTAAGTGGGGCATCACTGAAACATCTGGGTTACATGGTCAACCTATCTGATGGGGTTAGATGGGGTTCTGATGTCATTTAAGCTTGAATTTGAAGAGTGCCATATCCTGCCCTGCCTGTGGGAGTCCCCAGGAAATCATTCACAAGGTGTGATCACAAGCTATGAGGGATGTTTCAATAAAAAAATTATTACAGTAAAAGATACATTGCATTAGCCTCCCTTCATAACACTCCTTCTTGCTTTAAATACACTTACCCATTGTTCTTGCCACTTTCTGAAGCAGTTCTGGAAGTCCTCTTTCGTGCGTATCACTAGTTGTGCTGTCATAGCTGCTTCGATGTCCTGAATCAATGCAAAACGTTTACCTTTTATGGTCATTTTGACTTTGGGGAAGAGCCAGAAGTCAAATGATGCTAGATCTGGTGAATAAGGTAGATGAGGACACACCATAATTTTTTTTATTTGACAGAAATTGCCGTACCAGAAACAATGGGTGACATGGAGCCTTTCTGTTGTGATCACAAAATATGGTGAATGCTGGTGCCGAGTGCCATCCAACAGAAAGGCAGGGATCTTCAATATGGGAAGCGGCACATGGAACGTTAATAACAGTGTGTGACAAGTTTCAACTCATTCGGTGCAGTTAGTCGGGTGTGCGCTACAGTTGAGAGAAGGTGTGTTTTAAAGTGTGCCATAAACCATCCTCCATCATTACAATGCTCAGTGTCACACATCACTTCTGGTATGGCAATTTCTGTCAAATAAAAACATTACAGTTTGTCCTCATCCACCTTATTCACCAAATCTGGCACTGTGCCATTTCTGGCTTTTCCCTCAAAGTCAAAATGTTTCAGGACATCAAGGCAGCCACAACAACACAACTAAAGACACTCACGAAAGAGGACTTCCAGAACTGCTTCAGAAAGTGGCAAGAACGATGGGATAAGTGTGTTCAAGACGGGGGAGAGGGGAGAATAGTATTTTGAGGGGGATAAATGGAAATGTGTCTTTTAGTGTAATAATTTTTTTTATTTAAACATTCACTGTATTGTTTGATCACACCTTGTACATGGAATTGTAACTAATTAGAAACATAAGTGTTGTTTTATAATTAGCTGGAATCATGTGTAGTGATGTACAGTGTAGAGAAAAGTGAAGCCCATAACTCGTTTGGAGCCCACAACTTTGCCTTCTGGTCAGTTTAGGGTATTTTACTTCCACACTTCCCGCAGCTGAAATTTTTGGGCTGATATGTCCAAATGTACCTGTGAAGAGCAAGAGATTGAGGGACTGCTGAGCCCACTTACCTGGAAAGCCATGTAGAAACACAGAGAGAGAGAGGTAAGAAAAGAGAAAGAAATATACAGAAAGGATGCTTATTTCTGCTAACTATATGGAGGCAGGAAAAATAAAGTACAAAAGACTGTCATGTATGTATATGACTTTTTACCATGCAGTAATCCTGCCCATTAGTAACTGTGGCTCAATTAATATTTCATACTCTGATCAATCAGATCAATACCATGTTTTCCTTGAAGAAGGAAGAAAAAAATAGACAGAAGCAGACCTAATGCAGAAAGAGGAATTGAAGGCCAGGCCAGACCAAAGCAGCTGACACCAAATCAAAACGCGTAAGTGAGGCCCTGCACACAGCAGGATGACTCACTTTGGTGACATACTCCCATTGTTATGTTTAATTCCTGCCATGGGCTATTCCCTCACTCCTTTTACTCCCATTCAAGAAAGCATAGCAGGACTGGCCGAATGGCATGTTGGTTAAGAGTTGGCTTGGGATGCCAGCTCTGAGCAGCAGGGCCCCGGTTCAGATCCCACATGAGGGCCAGTGACACTGCCCTCTACAGCTAAGATGGTGAACAACAGCTCGACCTGGAGCTGGGCTGCTATGAGTCGCCAGCCACAGCATAGGCTGCAGTGGGGCTGGTCTGGTCAGCAGTTGGCATGAGCTTTTGTGAGCTGCCATGAGCCGCCGTGAGCAGCCATCCAATGGCTGGCGACCCATCTGCCTCAGCTGGGAAGAGCGCAATGATCACAATACCAACATGGGGCAATGATCACAATACCAACATGGGCCAGTAAAGTGATATCCTCCACAACTACACTGAAGAACAAAATGACAGCAACTTGTCTGTTCCCCCTCCCCGATTCCCCAATGCTATTCCCCACCCCCAATTACCCAATAAAATCTTTTAAAAAAAAAGCATAGAAACCTGCTAGACAGAGTCATTTCATTATAGAGTAAACCTTGAATCTGTTCTAGCTGGTTAAAAATAGCATTTGCAAACTTTGGCACTTTAATAATTACTGGTAACAAATGACATCTTGCTATTGGTGGTGATCTGGTAAGGGGTTGAGACAGTGTGAGTACCCCCAACCTGCTCCAGCAGCTGTGTCAGAGGAAGTTGGTCCTCTGTTACTCTTTCCAGCCCTTCCACTCCTCTTTGCTCCTCATACAACCCTAGACTCCAGAGCTCAGGGTCTGGGTGGTGAGGCAGGGTGGAGAGATGCTCTAGTAGAGAAGTAACGAGGTTGGCTATTGTCCTGTAATTCCCAAAATAGATTGATCATCCATGGGGAGAGGGTGAGAAGGTTTCTGTTCTTGTAACTGTATACAACTCTGACACATGTACTCCTGGGACAAATTATTTTTACACAGGGAATTATTCTGGAAGCTTTGTCTGAGTCAGTTTAATAACAACAAAAAGAGAATTGTATTTTTTGAGTCTTCAAAGTACTTTAATATACATTATCTTATCTCCCCCTCCCTCTTTCTCATTCCCTTCCCTCCCTTCTCCCTTTCTTCTTTTCTTCATTCATTCAAAATCAACTTTGTGCCTTTCCAAATGTTTGGGGCTTCTATTTTGGGTATTATCCATTTAATTCCTTCTATTCTGTCACTTTGTCAACTTTTGAACACTTTTCTGTTAACCTTTTCAATGGAAGGAAAAGGTGGATAATGAGATCCATTGATGAAATAAGGTTAGAGATTAACACTGTATTCAGATTTCCCATGTTTTCCCACACCTCCTTCCCCTTTGTAGAATCAGACAATAATTTGACAGTTAAGTATATTTCTGTGACCTCTAGGAAACAGGAGAATGGATATGGAAGAAGGAAGATATGCTTAAACCAATGTAGACATTGTTAAGAAATTTATTTGCAATTCTTGTTTTTTGTTTTTTGTTTGTTTTTTAAATAACACCATTCCTTAGATAAAAATGTAATCTTACAGGAATATACATAGCATCTCACACAGAGATCACCCTGAAGCTTTTCTGGAAAGGTCGCCCCTTGTAGACTCCCTGGTCTTCTCAAGGGTGAGAAGGTGCAGCAGACGAGACCTTTGACAATGGGGTTATTTAATGATTACAAACTGTACAACAATATTTACACTAGAAAGACTGCAAAGTCATGGAGCCTGGAGGGGCGGTACGGGGTGTGCAGGTGTGGGGGATGGTGACAGGCATTGGGGTGAGAATGGAGGCACTGTCCAATTTCCACGTCTCTCTGAGAACAAGCATGATACAGCTTGGTTTGGGGGGCATGAAGGTAGGCCTGAGCAAGAGGATGTGAGGAGAGGGGGGATGGATGTGGAGCCTCCTACACGGAGGGAAGTTTTGCTTGTACCTCTGGGGTTAAAATAAAACAGGAAAATGAGAGTAATAGACATTCCACTGCTTCACTAACTGGAGACATGTCACCTTATTTCTTAATGAACTTGTGGGTATTTCCACAGGTTGTTCTCATCTACTCCCATCACAAATTGTGTAACCATGTTCAAGCACTTGATATCCATAGTGCTAGAACATAGCTAGACATGTTCCCACGAGGCACTGTGACAATAGTGTATGTTCTGGGCAGAGCAGGAAGCAGCTACGGGTGCTGTAGAACCTGGGTGTGGGAATGGAATATGGCTGATGTCTGATGGTGTGATGTGAGCAAGCAGAAAGGAGTCCACAGAGTCTAAGTTGCCTTCTGAATGAGCACTTTGCACAGGATTGTTAGCTTACAACCCATCTACAATTGACTCAAGTTTTTTCCTGTCTAGCCTTGGTGTAGATTCTCCATGTTGGGACATCTTATGGGGAGGGGCTTGGGACAGGACCCAGTGACTCAGCCTCTTGTGTTCCTCCAGTGACTATAGCAAGGAGCCTTTTCTTCTCTCTTGTCCTGGTTGTAGGCTCAGGAGCAACTTCCTACATGAGGCACTGACATCTCAGCCCTCAGGATCCTGGGGCAGCAAGTCACTGTTGAGACTGGTGCCTGCTCTTCCTTTTTCCTTATCATCCCCCTGCTTCTAAACTTGAGGACACTACAAACATCAGAGCAGAAGTTCTGCAGGCCCAAACTGGGAATAGGAACCATTCAGTCCATATCTGTATTTCCTTGCATAGAAATTACCCTCCCTTAATGCTTACCATGTCTCCGACCAGCTTTCTCTGATAATGACCTTGGTGTAACATTTTCTATGTATGAAGTACATGAGTGGTTTTCAGATGGCAAATTTGTAACAAATGCCTGATTCATGGTAGATTGTCACGTGCCCTTTCTAGGAGCCTGATACAAATCAGATTATTTAGATTCTTAAAATTGGGGTGCATAGGATACCCCACAAAGGGAATAAATACATCTGTGAAAAGGCCAGCATCTGATATGAAGGGAGAGTATTTGACTCTGGTGATGCAACATATCAAGCTTTTGTTTAATTAACTAGTTTTTGTCTTGTTTTCCTTAATGTAGTCGGAATTTAAGGAATTTTCATGAACAATCCCCAACTCTGACTCTGCTCTCAGTGGTGAACTGATTCATTTAACTTAGCTTAAGATATTTCACTGTAATCTCTAATTCCATTTTGGAGGTGGGTTAAATGGCTTTTCTAATACACCACAAAGCCTGAGAATCTTACCACTGCATTTGCTGTAGACCAAGCCTCTTAAAATCATGTGAGGAAAAGGTCTGGATTTTAGGAGTGGACAAATTATACTTAGTTCCTAGTAATAGTAGGTTCAGATGGCACTATTTCCACCCAAGAAAGTGATGCTGGTCTTCTCCCCATTTCTCTATACAGAGCTCAGGCTTCTGGGAGGGGACAAAATCATTTGTCTGGAGCTCGACCCCAGCACCAGCACTTGTCCCTTAAGGATATGCATGTGTGTGTGTGTGTGTGTGTGTGTGTGTGTGTGTGTGTGTGTGGTGGTCAAGTGTCTTCCCAACAATGTAGAAACCTGGCAGATACCCATTTATTTCCCTGTTACATTGGTATCTGCCTCCACAAAGCAATGTTTCATTGTTTTGAAAAACAAACAAACAAACAAACAAACAAACAAACAAGTAAATAAAGTTGAAACCAGAAATGGTTTGCAAAGAAGCTATGTCAGAATCTGCACATGAGATCCCTTTCAATTCTCGGTCTTTCTCACTAGACTAGGGGTCGGAGAAGAGGGAGAAGCAGCGGCTGGGGCAGGAGGCTGGACTAGAGAGGCTGCCTAGGGAAGGCGACAGAGTTCCCACCTCTGGCAGCTGTAGGACACTCCCTTTCATGCTGTCTCCTTAGATGTACTGCTGGACAACCTGGATGTTGGTGACTGAGAGCTTCGCCATGAATGGGATTAGGGCTTCACCTCCTGCTTTCCATGTAGGGCCTGTTTGAGGTAACACGCTGGATAATATAGGGACAGGGACGTCAGCAGAGAGGGAAGCTAGGGTGGCAGGCACCTCACATCTGGCTAGATATGTTGATTTGGTTGGGTAGGTGATGTCAGTCAAAATTGTACTTTTCTTCCAAAGTAGATCCTCGAGGCATCAGCCTCTTTTCTGTGCTGGCCACTGTAGGTGGTTGAATTGGAGATTTCTCTCCATCAAATGGGAACAGGCACATAGGAAGTCAAAACATGCCCTTTTTTGCCCCCTTTTCTCTTCCACTTCTCTCTGTGCTGACATTTTCCCCAGACCAGAGCCATGTCTTCAAAAACAGAACTGGCCTGGACTCTTATTGGCAAGTTTTTTTACTAACCTGGGGCTTAAAGGGGTCCTCTTGAAACCAGATTGCCCTTCTCTTGGTCTCTTTGCTAAACTGTTTCTAACACTTGACGATGATATTTCAATTCTCCTGGGTCTCTGGGGGTGAAGAGGCCACCGTCCTCTTAGCAACATGCATGTTTGTGGTTTGATGAGGCTGAAACACTGACTACCAGAGCTCTTCTTTATGCCTAATCCAAGTTCTTGTTATACTCTTGGCCTTCAGAGTGAGGGGCAGGTACCACCTGGCCTCTGCGAAACAAACATCATCTTTTTGATGACCTCCAAAGTCCTCATTTTCAGGATGCTCTTATTTCTCAGAAAGATACTACTTTAGCATTGGAAAGTATATTTCCATGGTTGCCGTACTATCTTCAGCTGCATGATAAGGAGAAGTTCTGGAAGGAGATGGCTGTGAGGAAGTGATAGGCAGCTTCACTCCAAACAAGCCTCTGAAACCTGAAAGGAGGGTCCCAAAGGAGGATCATAGACAAAGTAAGGAAGTCTTGTACCATTGTCCTTGGATCTCCCAGTCAGAGGGATGCCTGTCAGAAGCTGACAGAAGGACTGTAACTAATAGCTTCTGAAGCAGAGAAAAGTTCATGAATCAAGCCAATGTCTAGGTAAAAAAGTCTCCTCTTTTTACCTGAAGACAAAAAAGAACCTTCTAGGAATAGGCAGAAAGGAGACAGCTGAAAATCTCTCTGCTTAATGTAGCCATGCACATGAATAATTATTAAAAGACCAAGGTGTGGAAATAAAAGAGGCTGGGGCTAGTCAGAAGATAAAAATCAAGTTTACCAACTTGCAGAACATAAGCTGCATTTCTTCAAGTCTTTCTGGTCCTCAGCATGGTTGCTTTTCTCCTGCCACCTGAGGGTTTTCAGATTTGATCATTATGTTTTACAAGGTCATAGGAAAGTTCTACTTTAGGTGAAAAGTAAACATCACTTAGTACACCGTGGATGAGGTTCATTGATGTCATGACTGATTCTGCCAGTCTGTGATGATGACAGGTTATCACATGTCAATCCTACATAAGTGGAGCGTGAGGTCAGGTTCAGAAAGACCCTAGGCAGGGAACTCCCTTCTGAAACTCCCTTCCTTCACAGCAGCATAGAACAAAGTGTCCTTGTCACTGCTGACACTGTTTTTATGGGGGTAGGGAGAAAGGCTAGCTGCCCTTCTTGATGGAGTTGACTATAAAGTAGAAGGGAGCCTGTGGGTGTGACTGGTGAAGGTCAAGAGGCCCCTACTTAGGTAGGGCCCTGGGAGTAGCTGGAATGAGCCCAGCCTGTAGCCCATGCCACTGGCCAATGAGATTTGGTGATGTAGATGAGAAGTCCAAAAGGAAAACAGAATGGAAAGGCTGAGCGTGTGTGTGTGTGTGTGTGTGTGTGTGTGTGTGTTCAATTAAGATTCCACATTTTATCTAGGGATCAAATGTATAGCAAGAACCAGATATCAATGTAAAAGGACTCCTCTCTCCATCATAACTAAAATCTTAGCAACATAGTGGCAAACATTTTGGGAAACTGGACAAAGAGCGACACCTAAACTTAATTTCTAGAAGACCCTGATAGCATTGAAAAGGAACCAAGCATGTTTGGATGGGTTGGGCTTGGAGAAACAAGAAGAAACTATTTCCAGATTTCAAGTTAACCTGGGAGTATCTGGCACATTTCTCCACTTTTTCATGAATTAGTCCATAAGAAATGGACTTCATTGAGAAATGGACTTTTCCCACTTTAAATTTCTAGGTTGCTTATATAATTGCCAAGAAGGACTGAGAGAACACTGGACTGGAAGAGATTCAATGGGTAAATTCTGGGTGAATAGTTGGGTCCTATTTCCCCAAATCAATCCCTTTTCAACCATCATTACTGAAATCTATTAAAAGCAAACAGCTTCAATAGGGTGATGCTCTAGGTAGAAGCAACTGGCAAAAAAGAAACTCCCACAAAGTCTCTGGTTCCACCATCTCTGTGAACTCCCGATGCCCCCTCTCTTATCCTGGTCCCCTCCATGGCCACATCCCCTAGGGGAGGATCTCCTGGTCCAGAGTGAAGAAAAGATGGAGAGGTGAGCATGACAGATTTGACTTCTGGATGGACAAAGATTTTATTTGGTTGCCTTTTCCTAGCCCCTCCTGAGTTTGGGTAGAGCAGTTGAAAGGATGCCCTTCCCTTCCCACCAGCCCAACTCTAATCCCATCCTCACAGTCAGCGTATACTTTCCTGAGAAACCACTGAGCAAAGTTTGTGCGGTGGGAGTGAAGAGAAAAGTCAGCCACCCTTCCTCTCCCTTGGGAGACACTGATGCCAACAAGGTGAGGAGAGAGGCTGGTGAGAAGGTCTCCCTCATGAGCCCTCACAGTGAAGGGCTGTTCCTAGAGAAATTTCCGATCAGAGAACTGGTGCAGACTAGATAGAGTGAAGACTGGAATAAGATATGTTCTGGTCTCTCAAAGGAAGATGTAGTACAAACATACCTATCATATACTTCTGGAAAAATTGAGGGAAACCGAAGCAAACACAAGATATGCAAAACAGTCATGTCCAAACCTGTTGGTGGATAGCAGAATAATGATTTACACTGGTGAGACCCTTGCTCATTGTACACATTAAGAGAAAAATCATTCCCTTTCCCCCAACCACATACAGGAAAGCACTTAAGAGTTCAAAGGTAAAGCTTGTCACACTCCAAATACAAAATGATTTACTTACATGCAGCAAAATATACAAGGAGTGAATTCAAAAACAAACTTAATTCAATTCATTATATTCGCTTGGCACAATTGCAATTCAGTTTTAAAAAAATATTTGTAAAATACTGAAACTGACCTGAATTCAAGTATAACGGTTTCTTCAACAGAAACATTATCAATGCAATAAAACATCACACGGAATATATCGAAGCAAAACGCCTTCTTGAGTTTTTCCCATAAATTTCTGTGTGTTTTTTAAAATACAGTTTTAATGCCAACAGGACTCACAATTGTGTTTTTGAAATGAATATTATTGCATTGTTTTTGCATATCTTGTGGGACAGAAAATGCAAAGAGTTACTGATTCCCGTTTCAGAAGCAGAGACATTGGTTTGTTTTTGCTTTCAAATGGCCCCAGACTCTGACCTCCCAGTTAACTCAGAAACGGGGAGCTGCTTACTCATTTGGCGCATGGATGCGCTGCGTGGGTGCATGTACACATGTACGATGTACGCACAAAGCCAACCCACTATATACGTGTCTCTCTCTCTCTCTCTCTCTCTCTCTCTCTCTCTCTCTCTCTCTCTCTCTCTCTCTCTCTCTCTCTCTCTCTCTCACACACACACACACACACACACACACACAGAGAGGCTTCCTCTCTCTGGCACCCACCAATACACCTGGCATTCACAAGAACCCACTCAGTGACCCATCTGTGCAAGACCATATCAAGTGCATTGCTGATTACCTTTAAATTGTAAAACCAACCCCCTCCCAATTTTTTTGTTACTACCTACGGAAATTATAACAAATTCTTGGGCATACAATGGGTGGTAAAACTCTCCTACTGTGGCTCAATTGAACCCTCCGTAGAAAAAGGAAACCACACCCGTTTAAATAATACGTTCAAACCAAACCTGATTTACATTTTCAAAGGTGAAAACAGTAAGATGGGTGGCTACAGAACTTTGTAAACACTCTTCTTACTCCCCTCCCCCTGGGAAAACAAAATTTAAAAGAAATAAAAAACCGAAACAATGAAAACTGCAACATGCTGTCAAGAAGGATGTCAAACCACAGAACAAAAGAGCGCTCAACAGGAGCTCAGCACCACCTTGCTGTGTCAAGAGCTGGCTGCCCCTTCTGGGCAGGCAGTGCCATTCCCTTCGCAGGAGGCTGGCGGGCTGCTGGTGGGCTGCGGGGCTGGAACTTGGGGCTGGGTGGCCTGTGCAGATGGGCAGAGGCCTGGCCTTGTGGTGAAGCTGCAGCGCTGCCCCGCTCTCCTTCCGGGCTCCTCAGCTCCCGCCGCCTCTTCGTGCTTCCTCCTCCCTCTTTGGGGTCCGGCTGGGTCCTTGGGAAGTCATGCCCGCTCTCTTCCGCAAATCTACAGGGCCCTGGCTCTATGGGGACAGTGAGGCTCGTACAGAATATGTGCAAAATGATTTTTTTTACAAGCAAAGTTGAAAGACACCCGTTTAACAAAGGTCCTTTTGGTGAGGGCTACCGCAGGAAGCTGAGGGTCCTTTTCATGCCCAAGGCGACTGCTGGTTCCTGGTGCAGGGCCTGAAACACAACAGGGAGGGCTTCTCTTGCTTCCTCCCGGACCCTTCCACCTCCTCCTTCTCACCACTCTACCTCTGTGGACACAAACTGGGGTTGCTGCTTTTCTTCCCCAACAAAGCTGACTCTCCATACCACCCAACTCTGCGTCTTGTCCCAACGAAATGAATGAAGACGCTGTTCCGGTTAACTCCAGGTCACGAGAACAGTGAGGCACTTCTGAAACGAACCCTTTAGGAACATTGAAACAGATAAAAAACCCAGCATCTCCTCAGCCCTGCTACTACGGGCTGCTGACATAGGCCCTGTGGTCCTGCAGCTCCTCTTCGCTTCTCCGACACTCCTGGGCGGGCCCACAGGGCTCATCCTCTTCGCGCCCTGCTCTGTCCTGCCCCGGGTCCCTGCAGTTCACAAAAGGTAAGAGGGTGCCATTGGGGCTCTGCTGGGTGCCCCCACTGAGAATGTTGTCAGCAGCATTCTCCATCTCCTCTATGGTCATGTCGCAGGCATCAGCCAGCTCCTGGGTTGTGACCTCGATGAACTTGGGATCTTGAGCAAACTGCCCCAGTCCTTCCGAAATCAAGACCTGAAGTGGGGGAGGGGCGGGAAAAAGAACCAAAGAAGCACATGATTCCTGCGGCTGGACTCCTCTCTAGGGCTAGAGCAAGGGACTAGTGACTGTAATTTCAGGAGTGTGTGAGTGTGTGGTATGGACTCGGGGGTGGGGTGGGGTGCGCAGAGGTGCTCAGGGGAAAGGAGTACTGACCTAGCATCACCCAGAGGAATTCAGGATGTGCAGGCTGGAGGAGACACCTTTTGGCTGCGGTATTGAAAACTGTTACCAAATACTTGAGAATTTGGCTCCCAGAGGGGCCGCAGGTGTGCTGTTGCACAGGTATAATCCAGTCTGCCTTGTCTTTTCTTCTCCATGGCACACCTAGATGCCTCCCGTGTTATTAAAACCTTCCTTCTTCTTTGGTGAAGCTGTTAGCCCTGCCCACTGTCCATGGCCAACTGGCTGCCTGTCTGGGGTGAGGATCCTGGGGTACTTATATAAATACTGCACACGCACCTGCCTCTGCTTCTGCTTCTGCTTCTGCTTAGAAGGGCCAGTGGGCCATCCCAAAGTGTCACCCTCCTTCCTAGCAGTGGTGCTAGTAACTGGCTTCAGGGAAATCAGCCCCTGAGCCAGGGGACGGGGGACGCAGTAGAGTGAAACCGGAACACTTTTCTCCCAGTTCTGTTTTGTCCTGCGCCCCGCATTACTCTTTTTTTTTTTAAGCTGAGCCATCCTGCCACCTGTTGGCAGCTCAGTGGCTGCTCAGCTCGGGCCGGGAATTGAACCGCTGTTGCTCAGAGCTTAAACTCTTGAGCGAGCTCTTAACCAACTAAGCCACTCGGCCAGCCCCCCGCATTACTCTTTATCCTGCGTAATTTTCTTCATAGTTCCCACCCCTTCCTAAGATGTTACATACATGTTTATTTATTATCTGTCTTTCCTCACCACAATGTAAGCCCACAAGAGCAGAGACGCTGTTCTCAGCAGTGTCCCTCACCTAGAACAAGCCTGCACATGGCAGGCGCTCAGTGGAGATTTGTGCATAACCAAGGCCTGGTGAAGCACAGGGGTTTAGAGTTAGAAGGGACTTTAGAAGTCATCAGTTTAACACTCCACCTGCTGCACAATGGCCTGGTGATCAGCTGGGTATTGTCTCTGCTTGCACATGTCAAGTGAGGGCGGGGGGGCGGGCGAAGAAGGGGGGGGACACGGGGACGACAACTCAGTTTGTTACAGAAAAGCCCTCCTTGTTTTGGAAGAGCTCTTTTGGAAACGTCTTGTCATGTGAGCTGAAATCTACCTGCCCATCAGTTTGCTCTCATCAGTCCAGTTCTGTATTCAAGACCTCCTGCCCAGGACACCAGGGCCCTACAAGTTTGAGATGCACACCGCAGCCTCTTCAGTCACCTCCACTTCAGGTTACTTCCCGAATTCCTCAACCAGTTCTCATATGAAATGGCTTCTAAGGACCTTGCCACCCTGGTCATCCTCCTTAGGGATTGTTCCAATTTGTCAAAGGTCCTGTAAGATGTGGTGCAGGATTGCACAAGATGCTCTGACTGGGCAGAGTACAGAGTACACTGAAAGAGCTCGTTTTAGATAAGAGATCCTCAACCCTGGCAGTGCATTAGAATCATCAAAGGGCTTTAAAAAATAGGTTTCCAAAGCTCCCCAGTTTATTCTAATGGGCAACCAGGTGTGAGAAGCTGGTAGGGACTTCCTAAGTGTAGAGAGGCCCAAGCTCACATTTGGAGCAGTCATAGCCCGCCTCTGGCATGTGCTGTGGAGCCTGTGGCCCTCCTTGGGGGTCACCGGACTGTGGCTGTGGCAGGGATGTGCTGCCCAACAGAAGCCGATGGTGTCTTGTGTGCTCCTAACTTTCTGCATGCCATTCCCTCCTGTTGTAGGCTCTGACAGTGAGGGTCTTTCTGGCTAGGAGACTTGACATCCAATCTACTTGGGAGAGAACAAGATGCTCCCTTCTCAATTCTCCACGCAGAGTCCCTTGCTGCCTCTGGCCTTTCCTTCCCCATGTGCTGTGCAGCTCTGAGTCACTTACCGCTTCCACCAGACTGCTGGCACTGCCGTGGAACTGCCGACCCCAGGCCCCGGCCTGGCTGGGCACAGTGAGGGACACAGGCCGGGCTCTCCGGGTGGCACTGCTGCCCCCCCCACAGGGTGTGGGATCCCCAGACCAGGAGCTGCAGTGGATGGATGGGAAGCTGCTGTTGAGTTTCTCGCTGGACTCGGTTCCTTCCAGCCGCAGGGTGGGGATGGGCTTCGGGGGCCAGCCTCGGCTGCCGGGCGTGGCAGAGGGGGTGGCACATAGCCTGGGGAATGTTGTGGGGGAATGGCTTCTCTGGAGGAGGGGGCTCAGGCCTGCCACTGCCAATGCCTGTGGACACACAAGGAGCATGAGTTACTGCAAGTGGTCAGGTCCCAGAGGGGCTGGCCTCTACCTTCCTAGCAGCTGCTGTTCCAGCTAGTTCTACCTGCCTGGAGCTCATACCACCATCATTTTCACCCGTCTGAATCCTACCTCATCAATACCCAATGCAAGTTTCGGCCATCCTAAGACATATTTTGTGATCATACTTGTCTGAAGCGATCTCTTTCTCCTGTCACTTCAGAAAGCGTGATCGAGTGGAATCACAACCATTTGCTTAGCACTGGCCTTCTCACCTATGAGGTATGAGTTCTCTCGCTTGGGTTTTCTCATCAGTAGACTAGAGGGGATGATGCCTGTGTCATCTGTAAAACCAGAACACGAGTGCCCGCTGAGGTCCAAGTGAAATGAGGTCTATGAAGAAGTAAACTGTGCTCCACAAAGAGCGAGAGAAAAGCAGCACTTACAGTTTTAATTTTTACAATTAACTGGGCAATTAATAATGCCTTACCAATCTTCAGCTCACCTTGTTTTGTTCAAAGCTTACACTGTATTGTGATTAAACTATTCATACAGTTGTGTCCCCTGCCTCCCTGTGCTTGAGTGCCCTGAGGGTGGGTCACAGTCCCCATATGAGCTGCCACAAAGCCTACTCTGATGTCATGCATCCACGGGACAGTGCCATGGTGTGGTGGGAATGCCCAGCCTGAGGGGCAGAGAGAAGGGTAACTGCTGCATGGGTGGGAGGGTAGCAGAAAGGCATGAAGGGAGAATGTAAATAAAGAGGAATCTTTCCTTCCAGAATGATAAGAACAGATGAGTGAAATCAACTTCTAGAAATTTTTAAAAATAGCACACACAGTGTCCCCCCAGCGTGCAGCCTCCCCTGGCCACTGCTTTTGATGGTGCCCAGCTTAGGGTCCTGGAGATCATATAAATGTAGGCAATGCCACACAGCCTAAGTAAAATGGTACATTTCTTTAAGCTGAAAACACATCAACTTAGCCAAGTCACGCTGGCCATCTTATGTTGATTATAAACTTTAATCGGCAGTTGAATGCCTTTGAATAAAAAAAAGTCATTGAAAGCATAGGCCCATGGTAAGGGAGTATAACATTAAAGAGGTAAAAAGTGAGGGCTGGCCGAGTGGCTCAGTTGGTTAAGAGATCACTCAAGAGTTTGAGCTCTGAGCAACAGCGGTTCGAGTCCAGGCCCGAGCTGAGCAGCCACTGAGCTGCCAACAGGTAGCAGGATGGCTCAGCTAAAAAAAAAAAAAAAAGTAAAAAGTTTGGGAAACTCTAGGTTAGACCCTAGTTTCCCTGAAGACTGGCCTTATATCATCCTTTGATGTTTCATTAGCTCTGAGATACTAAGAGCACGTTTGATGTTGGTGTCTTGGATTTCACCATCTGAGAGTCAGCTGTGCCAAGAGAAATGCCAAGTGTCGAATCTCTCTGGACCGATTTCCTTGGGTGTCACGCCCTACTCCTGACCATGTGGTTGGGAGGTTCTTTGATCATTTCTGTATTTCAATGGATGGATTTTTGTGCAGCTAAATTTATGTGTGTTTTGCAACTCTAGGTACAACCACATCAGCCTGAGTGCCTTGTAGTGTAAGCCAGTGTCTGGGGAGGGGACATCTGTGCCACTGTGAGAAGAAACCCCGGGTGGACTCCTGGAGCTGCTGATCTTTTGGAACCGTGCAAGGCGCTCCTGCTCACCAGTGTTTCCTATGTCTCTACCTTGGGAAATGGCGCTCCTTGTTAAGGCACTCGCCTGCTTAGGAAAAACCCCCTCACTTGGGGGCTGTTAGGGCCAGGGGTGGCCGCAGCAGTGCTCTGAGACAGGAGACTGGTATCTATTCTGTCTCGCTTACTAGGGGGTGTGGCCACTGGCTTCTCCAAAGTGCAGGCTACCTGATGATGAACTAGGTGCAAGGGCAGGACTGTCTTCTGAGAGATGTCTCCCCCTTGATTCTTCTGTCGCTTCAGACATTCCAGGTGCAAGGAGGCTCTTCGACCTGCAAAGCCAAAGAACTGGGGTCACAGCAGGAAGAGGACAGGTATGTGATGGCTCATACCCAGGGGGAGAAAAGGGGCAGTATTAGTAGCCCAGATACACCCCTTCTTTACCCTTCATCTTTCTCTAACACACACCATGTAGCATATGTCCCAGTCCTATCCCAACCAGCCCCACCCTTGGAATTCCCTCTCGTTGCTTTGGAAATTTGCCCAGGCCACTGTGCGGGGGTTGTCTGAGCCAGGCTACCACAGTTTCTGTCACCCTTGAGTGCCTGACCCGTCATCCCGGGGTGCCCACTGGCCAGCCACATCTGAGGCTGAGGTGTGAGGGTTTACCTAGGGAGGCAGAGCGGAGGAAACCCCTCTTTGGAGATTGCCGGATGTCCCTCTTGTCCTCCTCAGGGGGTGTCAATTGTCGGTTTTCATCATCCTGATAGGGGAGTCTGGAACAGAGAACTCTTGGGGCTTGTTTCCAGAGGCCAAGAAGTACACCCACAGGGACAGCTGCCATCCCAGAAGGCAGTCTGCTTTTCTCCTCAGTGAAGGGAATCCCTTTTGTGTGTTCATGAAGGTTTGGGGAGGGCAGCAGGAACTGGCCACCCCAGGAAATGCAGCCCTGCTTTCTGGCTGTACAGCTTTCCAGCTCCTCACACACAGCCCGCAATCTCTGATCGGAGGCAGTGGAGGCACTCTTGGGTCAAAATCGTTAAGTTGGAAAAAGAGTCTAGGCCTGCAAGGCTCTTTTCCAGAATGGCCTTGGCCCCTCTGTTACATGTGCCACGTACCATGACCACTTTACCCAACTTACCCCCACCCCCTGTTTCTCCCTGGCCAGCCCACCCCTTCATTATCAAGAGCACAGAGCAGTTGCCCCGAATGCCATACGATCACACAGTCAGTGAACAGCAGAGCTGCCATGGCCCTCAGGGACACTGAGTCGTGACTTCTAAGCCTTTCTGATGGGGACTCACCATGAGAACTGTATTTTACACAGTCCCAGTGTGCACAGACACAGCCCACTGAACTAGACATCCTGAACCACACTTAACCTTTACTGCACGTGCTGCACTCTGATAGTTTCTATCCTACTTTAGTCTGTTCTACTTCCTTAAAAATTGTCCACTAAGGTGACTTCACTCCCCCTGCCCAGGGGCACAGCTGTGCCTCCCAGGTTGCATTCTAATCCCGTCCTTTTACAGATGAGGCTGACTTTCTTCCTTGGAGGTGCCACATACTTGGAGGGCAGAGATGGTGCTCGTTTCTGCTCCCAGCATACTGACTTCCGGCATTTGTAGATGTTCGGGAAAGTTTCTGAATGAACACCTCCAAGCCTTTCATTTTCATCTTGGTAAGCCCTCTCTGTTATATTTTCTTCTTATCCAAATCATACCCATTCTTGAGGACCCAGCTCCTGTTTGACCTTGTGCCTGGAACCTGTGATGGTCACCTTGACCTTGACCTTCTCTGACTGCCTGCACCCTTCACTGTTGTACCACTCTGTGAGCAATTAGTTAGACAATCTCTATGTTATCTTCCTCTTCTTAGCTTTCTAACTAGTTTGCAAAATCTCCTTGAGTGCCGAGGCTGGTTTATTCATGATCTAGCAGAGTGGCTGGATGCACCAAGCACTCAATAAGAGCCCAGACAGATTGAAGCATGTGCTTTTCCTGAACTCGAGGATATGTGGCCATGTACTAATTTGCATTCTAAAAATCAAAAGCCTAAAGGGCTGGCTCTTCCTTATTATAAAGTGCTTTCAGGAAAGCTTCTAAAACAGTGCATCTTAAACTTTTTGAATGCAACCCACAGTCATAAATACATTTTATGAGACTCAGTACACACATATATTGGCAATTAAATAAATGTTTCACAAAATGATACTTAGCTTTATGACATTGGATATGCTATTTTATATTGTCTCATTCTATCCTAGTTGATGCTATTCTGTGTTGTGCTATTATACTTTCTTTTAAAAGTACTGATCATAACTAGGTGAATGTCACAACCCTCTAAAGGGTTTAGATTTGCAGTTAAAAAAATCGTTCTAAAAGATTCCAGGGCTGACAAAAATCGCAGCCACTGTTTGCTAACAGCGCCCTCTGCTGGGTAGCTTTATTATAAGTAGTTTCATGAACATTTGCTTAATTGTCAATATACGTATGTGTGTAACTAAGTCTCACTATAAAATATATTTATTGGTTGGTTGCAGTGAAAACAATGTTGAGAAGTTTTCCTGTGTTGTGAGCACTGTATTGTGAGGAAGGACCAAACTCTCCAGGGACTGTCTGTGTGGGTCAGGGGGCTTCCATCCCCCTAATGAGGTGACAGATGTTTTGCAAGTGCTTTTCTGATATGTGATCTCTTCCCCTTTCCAGACCATTCCCAGAGGAGGGATGCCAGGACCTGCCCTTCACCCAGACCCTTCCCTGCACAAGGGCTAGATGGGGTGCAAAGCAGCAGAGCTCACATCTCTGTGGGGAGCAGGCTGGGCTCGCTGCAGTACTCGCTATCTTCACTCATCTTCACGTCATAGGTCTCGCCCTGAGAGACCTCCTCTTGACACACCATGGCTATCTGGCTCTCCCGGGAGTGGCACCTGAAGTGTCCAAGAAAGAGGAAAAACATCAGAAATCGCCAGTCCTCCTGCGCTTCCCTCAGCAAGCACAGCATTGTACACATGTGCACATGCAGTCATGCACACAGCCGACGTGGCCTCTTCCTCCTACAATTGCTGAGGATGTCACAGAGCCATAGAAGCATTAGGATTGGAATTAGGATTCTATATGGGAAAGGGACCTCTGGGTTGGGACCCAGGGAGACCTGAGTCTCCCTCTGGCATAGTGACTTAGCCCATCCCATGTCTGAGGTTTCCTGTCAGTAAAACTGGAATAACATATGCCCTGCCTGACTCAGAGGCTTGTGAGTAACAAATGGAGCAACATAAGAGATGGTGCTTTGAAAGGTGGAAAGGGTCAGCTTTTAAAGAAGGGTCCTGAGCTGCACTAGATAAGCCAGGGTAGGCCAGTGAGAGGGCTGTCCCTTCCCTACTATAGATAGCTGGCCCTTTAGGCATTTATTGGACAGAGCTGGGAAGGTCCTGGTGTCCTATTTCGACCTGCCTTTGAGTTTGATACTGGGTCTCTGGAGTGAAGGCATAGACAAGAAGCCTCACATAGAGGGGTTTGCTCTTCTGAGAAGAGGGGAGTGAGCCTGAGTCCCTCCCACATCAGGATGTGTCTTTCCCTCTGGGACAGAGTCCTCTGCTCATTTGGTCATGTCTTCTTTAGCTCTGGCTTCGATGTTTTCCCTTTTTCTGTCTGTACCTAGCTCGGTACCTCCTCCCATCATTCTTCCTGTAGATACTGAAGGCTAGGGCCCACTTTATCTTCAGACCTATGAGGGCATCAGGGAAATATCCCAGTTTGTCCTCTCAGAACTGAGTGCTGGATCAGTGCCGCCATTTTGACCTTGGGCCTGAGAGGCACTCAGGAAGAGTAAGGGCAGTTCTCTGGGGGAGGCCCTAGCAGATGGCTGCCCACCCCGCAGTCTGAAGGACAGGTGAGATGTTGAAGGCTCTTGATGGGTTGGGAAGAGACGGATGTGGGAGGAGCTTTGGTGAGGCACAATGGGATGAGCTGGATACAGAGAATGGTGGCAGGCAGGCAATGCCACTTCCTGGGGGCCACTATGTGCAAGGCATGCTGGCCTGTCTCAGCAAAAGCCAGGCCAGCACTGGAGCCACGTCACTAAGCCTTGAGCTGTGACATGAAGGGCAAGGTCTCAAAGCTGGAACTTTGGTTAAGTCGTCCCTGTTCACCAAGTTGGGCTTACTGCCCTGAGTGTTGTTTTTACCCTGCGGTGGGAAGTGGGGGAGCTGACATTTAGAGAGCGCATACTACATGCCAGGCATTGTGCTAGGTGCTTTGTGTGTATCCTATTTCATTGACAGATGTATCTATGGGGGAGGAAGAAATCCCCAATGTCTCTCCCAGCCTTCTCTCTAAAATGGTTTTTATCTCCCTTTATTTAATATAGAACAAAGTTTAATATGAAAATTCCCTTTGAGGGAGGTGTTACACTGAGAAGCTAATGATGAACACAATGAGCCTTCCTTAAGAAGAGGTTGGATAAGGGGAGCAGGGAGAAAATGGTACTAGGACTGAGTCCCTGAAGGCTACAGAAAGGGAGGAGGGTTGCTGGAAAGGGAGGGGGCCACCAAGACAGGTGTGGGCTGGCCCCGTAAATTCTGACATTTTCTTGTGCGAAGCGGAACTTTCCAAGAATATGAAATGCAGTGCTGAGCACATTGCCCAGCACATAGAATGCATCGATGTTCATCTCGGGTCGCAGGACTCAACCAGCGCTGCTTTTGGGTGGTTTACCCAGCCGGTCTCCGCATAGTCAGGTGGATGGGTGGCCAATTTGACTGGTCTGCCATCAGACACTGTTAAACGTCCAGGCTGTGTGGACTTATATGTGGCCACTTGAAAATGGGTATTATGAAGTGAAGTGCAAACCAGTGGGCAGCAACGCTGGTTCCTTGAATAAAAGCAGCTTCAGGACACTTGTCCAGGGATTTGGAAAGACACTTGTACTTCTCGATAATTTTCTGAGCTCAAGGGCTAGGAAAGGAGACGTACTGGAGAACCTGGCATGCTGGGAGTTTGCTGTCCCGCTGGGGGTGGCTGACTTGCTCTGGAAGAGCCGCTCAACTAAGGGTGAGATGGCAAGATGCAGAGGCGAGTCCCCTCCCACTCAGCGTGGGAGCAGAGATACTGATATGAACAGGCAGAACCTGCAGGCCCAGGCTGCGCTTCCCGGGGCCCAGAGCATAAATGCAGGTACCTATGTCCCAGCACAACAGAACAATGAATCCTGGAGCCCCAGGGAGCAGAGCACAGGGAGGGAAGAGCCAGGCAGGAAGTGGGAGGTATAGTCAGGACTACCAGCAATGATCCTACATTGGGGCAGAACTACAGCCAGGGGCCTCCTGCCCTCCAAATGCCCCTCGCTGGAGGGATGAAAAGGGTACAAAGAGGAGGCAGTAGCTTCATTCCCCTCCCAATTGGGCCAAAGGCCAGGTTTGGGCAGGGACTTGGGAAAGGCCAGGGGAACGGTGTCTCTTGTGTAGCCAGGATGCAAACATCTTGGGGATCAGGGGCCAGGTTCTCTCTGCTCAGGTAGGGTGAGAGAGCAGAGGGGGCTCTGTCCAGAGGTGTGCTCCTCAGAACACTTGCTGCCCAGTGCGGCCATGGTGCCTTCCCTGAGCACGGCTGCCACCAGTAATCGAAGGCAGGACATGGGAGGCAGCGTTGGCCTAGCTCTGTTACTGGTCCTGGGGCAGCAGCTCCACCCTAGCTGATGGGGTGAGTGGCAGGCCTGGGGGCCAAACTCTTCTTCCCTGACCCCCTCTGGGCTGGAGTGTGTACGGGCCCTGGATGCCCGCCCTTCTGCTTACCTCTTGGAGCTGAGCTTCCACGCTGCCTCCTGCACCCGGATGGCAGGAGACAAGGGGGGGCCGTGGCCCTCCACGGTGCTGACTGCGCTGGGATAGCCGGTGGGGCAGGGGAAGCGGCCCAGGGCAGTGTTGTTGGCATTGTTGATGTTGGCGTTGGAGCCAGTGGATGAGTAGCTGCTGGGGGTGAAGGTGGAGTCCACCAGTTTCTCGTGGGATGGCGACTCGGTGTCGCCTTGGCTGTTGCCCGCTTTGTTGATGTGCAGTGGGCGCTGGGTGGTGAAGGTCTGGGGGAAGGCGCTCCGGCCGTCGCTTTGGTAGTAGCTGACATGGTTGCCGAACAGGCCACCAGCCCTCTGCAGGCAAGAAGGGAGGGGTGGGTGGAGGAGAAAGTCCCCCCAGCTACCTCTCCACCTCAGCCAAGGCGCAGGAAGCTGTGTGCCCTCCAGAGAGCACAGCCACACCGGGCAGCATGTGGCAGGTGGGGGGCTCTTCACCCACGTGGCCGGGACCTGGACAATGCTTCTGAAAGGGTGGGGGGAACGGTGAGGGACAGGATGTCCTGTGGGGACCAGTCAGGCTGGGGGGCTGCTGTTCTGGAAGTTTCTAATGCTAGGATTGAGTTTCAAGGTCAAGTCTGGAATAGCAATACTTAACTGAAGTCAGCTTTTTGGTTTTGCAGCTGTGAGGCACTGTGAAGTCTGAGGGGTGGGGAAAGGGGCCAGAAGATTCTAATGAGATTTAAAAAAATGGAAATCCAACTGGCTCACTGGGCTAAAAACTGTTGGCCAATTCTGAAAATAAGGATGATGAATTTACTACATCAATTATATTATGGCCTCTTTCCCCCTAGCAGGGTCTTAGAGATTTCCAGTCTGGAACCTGTGTTTTTTTCCAGCATTCTTTCCTTGTCCTGGGCAAGTGGGCAGGGCTGGTCTGTCTGTGGGGTCTTGCTGGGGTAGTGTTAATGGTGCTGTGTCCCCGAGGCCATCTGTTAATGAACATTTCACAGTGATGAGAATGAGGATGGTGATGACAGGGCAGCCACAGGCAGGACAGGTTCATCTCACCTCCCTGTGTTTCTACAACCTAGGAACCCTGGCATGGGGCTGGGAGGGACAGGTGGGAGCCGGGCCTTGGCACAATTATGGTTGGTAGCTTCTCCCTTGCTATAGAAGGATTTTTAGCTAAATACCTTCGGGGTTAGGCAGGCACCACAGATGAGTGAAGGGAGCTGGATGTATAAGGGTCCCAGCATTCCAGTTGTGTTCAGTTTTCACTACTAAAACTGTGGTCAGCCTCCGTATCCAGGAAAGGAGAGGGAAAGCAGGAGGGGACTTTTGTGACTTGGAGAACATGTGTTCTATCTCAAGAGGACAATTGCCACTTGGTTCCAGCACTCTGTTGCCATGTGGGAACACAAGCTCAATATTGCCAGAACTTCTGATTTTTTTCAGGAGGTCAGAGTAGTCTAGATTTTTATTTGGATGTGCCAGATTTTCAAATGTTGGTAAACAAAATAGACCTGCAGATTAAATGTGGTTTAAGGGCCACCACTTTGCAGCTTCTAATGTAAAAGTTTCTCCTTGGAGACAGCTCCCTTAGGAAAATGGCTCCTTCCTCCTCTGAGAGTCAGTGACGCTCTCTGAGCTGCCACATCCTGGGAGCCCAGGCTTGAGATGGAGTCGGGCTTGGAAAAGTTGGAGGGTTAGGAAATGGTTGAGCAGGAAGAGCTTGGAATCTGCCATAGAGCTCTGTGAATTTTCTCCTTGGGTTTTCATGGCAGAATACCCACCCACCCTCCTGCTTCAAACCGAACTTTATGAAGGTAAGAATGCTCCCGTGGTGTCCACCTACCCTGAAGATGTCGTCTTCAGAAGCCGCAGACACAGCCTCCTTCATGGCTTTGTCCAACTCCTCCTCAGCTGTCAGATCTCCAGAGATGGCGCGTCGGATCTCGGGCCCGATGTCGTGCAGCGTGCGCAAGCCAGCCTGGAACCCAGAGGAACTCGTGAGGGCCCCCCCCCACCGCCCACCAGGGGCCCTCCGAAGTTGTTATCTGTGTGTACTAACCAGGGTGTGCTTCTTCGGGGCCCCTTTTGTCTGCCCCTGAGTGGAAGAATCCATCCGCCCACCCAAGCAAGATGAAGGCACGGTAGGAGGCGCTGCCAGGGGACTTCAGCGGAGCTCCAGAGAGCTCTGGGAGACCGGGGCGGGGTGGGGGTGGGGGGTGGGGGTCTGTGGAGCAGGCAGGACCATGGACTGCAGTGCGGCAGTGTGTGTATGTGAAGCACGCAGGAGGGAAGGGAGGACATCCTCCCTTCCCTCACCCGTCTCCAAAGGGACCTCCCGCCCACTGGTGAGTGACTCGGACCCTGGCTAGACGTCAGAGGAAGGCGACCAGGCCCTTCCTTGGGGTGTGGCCCCCTCGTCCCTCACCTGCAGGGACAAGGCGTTCCTCTGGGAGGGCTTGCCCACGAGCCCCTGCTCTTTGCGCTTCTTGAATTTCCGGAAGTACTCTTGGATCAGGAAAGTAGCATAAAACTTGCCAACCGTGACCTCATCATCTGAGACATTTGAAGAGAGGACAGGGAATTGGAGGTAAACAAGGGGAATTCAGCTGGGCTTCATTAATTTTTTTTCAGCATCCAAACTTTTAAAAATTTTAAAACTTAATTTTTTTTAAGAGACAGTACATTGTCATGATTCAAAAAGACAAAAATATATACCAAGTTATATAGTGAAAAGTCTCTCTCCTACTGCTCTGATCTGCTAGGTTACCACCTCCTAGTTGATGACCTTTTTTAAAAATTAGTTTCTTGAGTATTTCTCCAGAGGTTTTTTATGCAAACACTTTCTGCAAATAAGCAAGTACAATATATTCTTATTCCACTTTTAAATAAATTATTTCCCACCTTGCTTTTTTTACTTAACTGTCATTGCTAACAAATTCTTACTTGATTTCAAAGCTTCAGGTGCCCAGCATAAATCAACCAGTCAGTCCCCTAAGTACGAAATAGTTCTGCTTAAATGTTAGCGCGAGGAGTTGATGGAAGGAGCACGTTCCTCCTGCCTAAGTTTGGGTTCTTCTTTTAACCAGACAGATTGGGTTTTCTTCCATGTGGCTTGGCTGGGTCCTTGTTGGGCTAGGCCCCCAAGTTACCCATGACATAATCAGCCCCTGTCTTGGGGATGAACCACGTGGGTAATGAAGCCAGTAAGTCTCCAAGGGGAAGGTTTTGTGCCCTATAAGGAGTGCCTTTGCACCATCTTTGAGCTCTCTGTGAAGGAGCAACAGGCCTGGAAGACAGCTGGGTGGGTCAGAGCTGAGACTGTGCGATGGTTCTCCTTCTTCTAGTTGTCCCTTAAGAATGGTGTTCCACCTGGCAAGGGCTATGTGGGAGGAAAGACCCCTAAGCACCCTATCTAGGGGGGTCAGGGAGGAACTGCTGCAGGGGAAGAGCTCAGAGTTCTGGTGTCTCTCAAACCTGAGTTTGAATCCTGAATCTGCTAGGTAGTCACCATACAGCCTTCGGTCAGCTACTTAGCTTCTAAGAATTTCAATTCCTTGAGCAAACTTCCTAGAAACATTATAAGTAGTAAGTAAAATATTGTATGCAGAACCCCAGGTGGTGCTTAGTCTGTCTAGGTGACTTCACTTAGTTCCAGTCCTGCCTTCCCTTCAGGAAGTAGTTCTCAACAGGGGTGGCATTACCCTTTAAGGAGTGTTTTGGGACTGTATGGGACATTTTTTAGTTGTCACCATGATTTGGGAGTGCTACTGGTACTAAGTGGTTCTAGAGGTTTCCCTTAGAGCCCAGGCATGTTTTGCACAACAAATAATAGCTTCACACTCTGCATGTCTTTTAAGTGTTATGCTAGATGTCCACGTGGGGGATAACCTGCTTATAATTATCTGAGCTAAGAACCTAACTTTGTTTTACACATGAGCACAAAACATTTTTTGTATGGTTTTAATATATCCAGAATTTTTTAGGAATATAACTGCTGTGTAAATTGATAGAAGACTTTATTTTGTTTCAACTTGACCAAGAGGGGTTTACATTTTGGAAAATTGTGTCCATGACGGCAGTGCTCCTTGTAGTATCTAAGTCACCCACTGTCTCTGACTGCCTGTCCTGGCCTGCATTTATTCTATGTACGTGCATGTATGTAGATGTATGTATATATATGTGTGTGTGTGTAGTTATCTAAATATAGTTAGCCCTTACTTCAAAATGACAAATACAAAATGTTGACAATATGCAATATGGTCTTACTTAAACATACTTATTCATCATAAGTGGGTGCATGCAAGCATTTCTTCAGTTAATTCTAACTTCTGGCATAGTTGTACCTGAACATGTATATATTGAAAAACATTTGACTTTAATATTTTTTTAGAATTAAAGCATTATATTAATATTTTGGAAATTATATATGTAAAAAGGTTATATTAGCTATGATTTTCATTCAGGGTAGTAATAGGAGCATTATGAAGTATTTGTTATAAAAGCAGGCTTTAGGTTTCATATGGTGGAGAAACACTGCCTTAGGAAGAACAAAAAGAATTTCTACCAAGAGGGGATCTCAGGGCCCCTTTATTCCTAGAGCAATCAGACCAGTTGTGTATGGGGAAACCTATGCTTTGCAGAGTTTCCTTGGAAGTTATGCCAAACCTCTAAACCTCAAAAGAGGCCTTGCCTGGCCTCATCTGTGAAATGCAGAACAGGGCCAGGTTTCCAATCTGAGTGTGTGAAGGGCATGGCACCCTTGTTCCTTCTAATCAGTAGGGCCTCTCAGCCCACAGACAGGGTCTGGGGAAAGCAGGCCTCCTGTAAGCCTAGCGGACTCAAGAGCCGGCAGGTGCTGAGCATGTGAACATCGGAAGCACTTACCACCCGCGGGGGGGACCACCTGGTCCAGCAGCTTCATGCTGGTCCTCTTCCAGATCTTCTTGATTATGGCCCGCAACTCCTCATTGGCTTGTTCCAGGTTCCCTAGGGGGAGAGATACAAGGCTGCAATAGTCATCAGCACCTTGGGTGACCCCATGGCTGTGCCTTCTGCATAAAGTGCCCACAAATAGCCCTGATCCATCGTTTCCTTTTCTTTTTCCCCAGTCTTCCCACTGTCCACCTCCATCCTCTTTCTCTTTATATCATGTTTCGTTGCTCTTCCTTCTCCCTTCCCTCCTGTGCTCTGTCCACTATTCCCTTCCTTTCTTCCCTGTGTGCTGGTCAGGCCAGCCTGTGGTGTCCCTTCACCCTACACACTGCTTTTCCTTGTGGGTGGCACTTAGAGCTGACAAGACTGCTGTTACCAGTCTGAGCTCAACAGCCACCCTCCAGGAGAGCACATGGCTCTCCATGAATGGCCTTTCTCATGGCCTGTGGGCCATCAGGGAAAGATGGTGATTGAGTAGAAGAGCAGTCTCCCTTGTAAACCCACGCAGAGTGTCACACACAGGGGGCTGGTATCAAAGCCTTATGCTGAGTCTCCTGTGGAGAGGAGGTGGCACAGCCTCAGTGTGGAAGCAGGAAGCAGAAGACACTACTTTCTCTACTGGTGAAACAGGCTCAATTAGATGCCTATCCCATGCAGCCTCTGGGATACTGGCCTTGTAGCTCTGAGAAAGGAAAGCTGAGACTCGCAGCTGTAAGAGAGGATGTGCTAGGCAGGATTCTAAGATGCACCCATACTGACATCCCAGCACCACAATATATACACACGCTGTCTAATCCCTGGGACTGTGAATAGGGTGGATTTTACCCCGTTAGGTTATATTATATAGTACATGTGGCCTTAATGTAGGGAGACTGTCTAGGTGCACCTGACTTCATCACATGAGCTCTTAAAAGTGAAGCATTCGCAGGTACAAACTCCTGATTATAAAATAAATCAGTCATGAGTACATAATGTACAGCATGGAAACTATAGTTAATAACATTGTGTTGCATCTTTGAAAGTTGCTAAGAGTGTAGAGATCTGAAAAGTTCTTAACCACAAGAAAAAAAATTCTAACTATGTATGGTGACGGATGTTAATTAGACTTTCTGTGGTGATCATTTTACAAATATCAAATCATTATGTTGTACACCTGAAACTAATATAATGTTATATGTCAACTGTACCTCAATGAAAAACAAAACAAAACAAACAAAAAAGTAACGTGAGTAGGGAGCCAAAAGACAAAAGCAGAGGGTTTTCTCTGGCCAGGAGCAGGAGGTATGAGATGGTTGCGTGGGTGGGGGAGAAAGCACGCACCCACGTTGTGACCTGAACTGAGACAGGCAGCCTCTAGGGGCTGAGTGGTGCCTCTCTGAGAGCCAGTCCTATAGCTGCAAAAAATGAATCCTGCCAACAACCTGATGAACCGGAAGTGGATTCTTCCCCAGAGCCTCTGGAAGAGGACATGTCTTGATTAAGATCCTGATTTTGGCTTTGTAAGACCCTGAGCAGAGAACTCAGCCACTCCACGGCTGGACTCCTGACCTACAGAACAGTGAGCTAATAACTGGGTGTTGTTTTAAGCCCAAAATGTTGTGGTAATTGGTTTTCTTTTTTTTTTTTAGCTGAGCCATCCTGCCACCTGTTGGCAGCTCAGCGGCAGCTCAGCTCGGGCTGGACTCCAACTGCTGTTGCTCAGAGCTCAAACCTTTGAGCAAGCTCTTAACTAACTGAGCCATTCAGCTGGCCCTGGTAATTGGTTTTGCAGCAGTAGGAAACCTATACAGGCATACCTCAAAGACACTGAGGGTTCAGCTCCAGACCACCACAATAAAGTGAATATCACAATAAAGCAAGTCACATGATTGCTTTGGTTTCCTGGCGCATATAAAAGTTATGTTTACACTACACTGTAGTCTTTTATTAAATGTGCATGTGTAGAAAAACAATGTACATGCCTAAATTAAAAAATATTGTATTGCTAAAAATGCTAGCCATCATCTGAGCCTTCAGTGAGTTGAATCTTTTTGCCGGTGGAGGGTGTGCCTAGTTGTTGATGAAAACTCAATACCTGTGAAGCGCAACAGAGCAAAGCACAATAAAATGAGGTGTGCCCACACCACCGATCGTTTACTGCTGTCACACAGGGAGTCAGTGTGGTCCAGCCTCTGGTGCTAGGCTGCCCGAGCTGGAATTCCTCCCTCAGAAGGAAGCCCAACAGAAGCGAGCAGCGCTGGCAGTGGAGAGAGTGACAGACTCCCAAGTCCCCTGTGTAAATATTGCCTCTAAATAGTACTGAAGCCAGAGGACAAGCCTGGGCATTCTAGTTATGGAGAGGTCCTTCATGGTTATGTTCCCTTCCTGGTTAAGGCAGCTCGTGGTTTCTGACATATGCGATGAAAGACTCTGAATTAATATAATGCTTAAATACACTTATCTTCTGTAGTGGGTTGAGTAGTGTCACCTCTAAATTCATGTCCACATGGAACTTTATGACCTTAGTTGGAAAAAGGGTCTTTGGGGATATTAGTTAAGAGGAGCTCATACTCAGTTAGGGTGGGCCCTACCCCAATGTGACTGGTGTCCGTATTAGGTGAGGAGGAGACACGCAGGGAAGAAGGTCTCATGCAGATGGAGGCAGAGACCGAGTGACAGCTGTAAGCCTGGGACGCCAAGCACTGCCAGCAAGCACCAGAAGGGAGAGGCATGGAACAGATTCTCCCTCACACTGGTCAGAAGGGACCCCCGCTGACACCTTGATTTTGGACTTCTAGACTCCTGAACTGTGAGAGAGAAAAATTCTGTCGTTTTAAGCACCTAGTTTGTGATAACTTGTTACAGCAGACCTAGGCAACGAATATATCTTCCGGAAGAATCACATTTTCTTCAAGCCTCTGTTTACTCTAACAATGATCCATGTAACTGTGGACTGTCACTAACAGTTGTTTCACATCATCTAAGTATTTTAAAATATCCTCCTATATCCCAAAGGTTTGTTTGGCTTGGGACTGGTGCTCTGAAGTAGGTGTTGATTTCTCCACAATTCCTTCCATTCTCAAAAGTCTGAAGGGTAAGGACAGATGAAGACTTATCCCCACAAATTTAGATGCTTTCTCTTATTTCTCCCTAGTTGCTTCTAAGAACTTTCCAGACTTAAGAGATTAACATGTTTAAGGGTGGCTTGTCTCTGATGCAGTTTGCCCCTGAGTTGGCACGGTGGGCCTTTTGGTAGCTATTCCTTTTTTGAAAAAAATTTTTGTATTGTGGTAAAAACATTTAACATGAGATCTACCTGCCTAACAGAATTTTAAGTGTACAATTCAGTGTCGTGACCTGCAGAGACAATGCTGCACAGTAGAAAAATGTCTTTGTGTTTAAAGTTTTCTTCTTGACTGTAGTTCCCATGTGGCTGGCTTCTCCCCTGCCTCTGGAATGCTCATTTCCTCGAGAGTGATTCTTTGCATTATTATTATTACATCAGCTCGTTTTGCATTGTTATCAGTGGTTGGTATTCTTTCGCTGGGGCTTGGTTTGCTCTGACAGCACGTTTTCAACAGTGAGGGACCTGGCTGCAGTGTGTCAGTGTTTTTCCTTCCTCCATGGAATGAAAATTTATATCCTCAATTTATATCAAGCTTTAAGTATTGCAGCATATTCCTTCTAGTAGTCATTATATCCTCTCTCCTTAGAAAAGAAAATCTTTCCTCCTGGACATAATTGGCATAGTCATTGTAAAAAAATTGGAAAGGAATAAAAGTAAAGAAAGAAGGTAAAAGTCATTGCTCATTGTACCACTCAGTGATAATAAATGTGAACACATTAACGAATTTCCTTCCGATTTTCCTCCTAGTTATACACACCACACACATACATTAAATGTGTGTTTAATTCTTTCAATGTCAAAAATAGGCCTATTTACACCGATTTCAGATGGAGCAGTAGCAGTGGCTTCTGAGAGCATATTCTTCAGCCTGTGTTTCCTTTTAGTTTAGCAGTAGCACTTGAACCATTAAAGTGTTTTGTTTTTTAACTTAGCTCATTATTTTGACATGTATCTTGCTGGCCTGTTTTTGTTTTCTTGTTTTTCTTCATTTCAGATATTTCTATTAATTTCTGGAAGGTTTTAACTGAGAGAAGGCACCTCTCTGGGTTAGTCACTGAACTGAATTCCCAAATATCATTTCATTACCTTTCTTATTTTACAAATGAAGAAATTTAAGTAGAGAGAGAATAAATGACTTATCACACATGTTATCAGATTCAAGTCTTCCACCTCCCTGTCCAGTGCTCCTTCTGTTGCATCAAAAAAAAACAACAACAAAAAACACCATGGCTTGCAGATAGAAGCATAAGAAGGGAAAGAAGACATACTGCTTGTCTCATCTGTGTTTTCTCTTATTACTGTATGAGAGGGTTTCAAACTTTAGTTCCTGTATGGATCATAATGCAGCTGGTTCAAAGTGCAGATCGCTGAGCCCTGCTCTGAGACTCAGATTCAGAGATCTGGGCTGGTGCTTGGGACTCAGTATTTTAAACAAGCTCCAATAGTTAGTTGAATCTGAGGCAGGTGGACACTCTGCAAAACACTAGTAGGCTGGAAGCTTTTGGAGGGCACATGCATCTTCTTAGGTACATTTCATATAGCCTTTTCCACAGAGTGGTTCAGAAATACTTCTCAGTGATAAGGACAGCTAGCTGATTACCTCAGCCAAAGCTGCTGCTAGCCCAGAGGGCACCCTTGTGCAAGATAGAAGAAGGCGTCCCTCTAGGTGGACACAGTCCTGAGGGAGCATGGCCTGCCTAGTAGAGCACAGGTGAGATCTTAACCCCTACCTGTCGGCTCCCTGAGCACCTTGTGCCCGGCACAGCCTGTACAATTGTACGTGATAACCTTGACCACAGTCACCATTTGCCACTATGACCCCTTCCTGACACAGGTCTTTTTAGTTTAAAAAGAGAGTTGAGCATTTGAGAGGCCCACTTGTAGCCAATAAAATTCCACTTAGGCAGGGCTTGGTCCCACTTCAGGTAACACTCTTCTCCTTCTGCTTTTTGAACTATGACCTATGACTTCAAGATATCACTCAGAACAATTTCTAGCGTTTGATATGAAAACTAAAGTTGAAAATAAATAAAGCTAGAGGCAAGGAGGCATCTGAGAAGCAAAGAAAACATGAGCAGGCCTCTTTAATGTCCCTGAGGTAGAGGTTATCGCCGAACCACAGCTCTGATGCTGTACAGGATGGGGGGGCGGGGGGTCCTGGGACTCTGCAGTCTGCTGAGCTCCTCTCTGGCTGGTCTGCTAGATCTGCCAGTGGCCTGTGGATTTTTCTTACCTTCTGTTTTGATCCTCAGGGCTGTCCGGACCAGGGCAAACAGGGTGGCATTGAACATGACTGTCCCATCACTGTTCAGAGGCATGTTCATGGAGACCAGGCGCTGGAAGGGGAGGGGAGACAAAGCTGATGAATACAGCAAATGGTTCTCCAAGGACTTACAGAGCCACCATGGCAGGTGAATGCTGGGAGGGAGCTCGAAACTTGTGCATGTGTATTGGGAGTGAGTGGGGTCGGGGGTTACAAACATGGGTCCCTGAAAGGTATGCAAAATCTGTTCAGGGGAGAATCTTGGCTCTGCCATAAGTACTCTCACCTGCTGCACAGAGTAAGAGAGGAATTAATTTTTTCCTATTAGACCCTTGCTTCCAACCCCCTTCCCCGCTCAGATGTTGCTCAGGCCTATAGGTGTGCTCTCTACTGGCAGCAAGTAACAGCTGTGTGCAGGCATTTGCTGGGAGCCCACCTGACAGCCAGCGTTTATCCAAAGTCCTGATAAGAGAGGCAATCACAGCAGGTTTGGCTGCAGGAGATGCAGCATCTCCTTTTTTTCTGTATACTGACAAATCTGCCTCCACATCAAGCTGGATCAAAGCCTGCTGACACTGGGCAGGGCTGGGCTGCCCTCTTCCCTCCTTCCCAGCCCAAAACTGCAGCCCTTGCCGTGTGCTCTGGTGTGGGGCCTGCAGCACACACCAGGGTCATTATGAAAAACAGCACCATGAAATTCATTCTGTCATTTGCTCTCATGATGTGGTAATGGATATTATTCATTAGATCACACGGTGTCCTCCTGTTAATTGTAGTGCCAAAAGGGGTTAAATTACCCTGAGTGACTGGATCTTCTCCATTCTCATGGACAGTGTGAATTTCATAGTGGTCCCTGGAAAGCTTAACGCCCAATCCGCAGCTTGTCCGGCCTGACAGATACACTGCAGTCTAACATGGGCTGCACTCACCCCTGCTTTTGTTTTCACTCTGTTTTACCTTACATTCAATCTGTGCTCTTTTTTACCCCTCATATCCTTTACATCCTTGGAAATCTTCTAAAATCTTTTTTGGAACAAAGTGGAGGTACAAGTGAGAAAAAGCTGAGAAAAACAGAGCACAAGTAGAAGTTTCTATATTCCTTCAGTTCTCCATTTTTTCCATGAGTGGATTATTCACAGAGCTGAATTTTTCTATTTGTGTTTCTTCCTCTGTACAGCTCTCTGACATCACTTTCCCCAACCCTTTTATTATTGCAACATGGAATACAGAATGGTGAAAATGGGAATTGGAAGAAGAGGGGAGAGAGTGGAAATGATACTCTTCAGCAAATGCTGGGTTACATGGTCCGGATTATAGTGAGGCAAGAGAGGTACCTGGCACACAATTTAAGGGGGTGCTCACTCTCCAGGTCATGCAAAGGCCACATGGGCAAGAGTTGGGTATAACAGAACCTAGGATGTTTATCTTAACCATTTTTGGTTCATGGACTCACTTAGAAATCTGCTGAAAAGGATAGATCCTTTCCCCGGTACAATTTGTGAGTGTTTCAGTAATTTTTAAAATACAGTTTGAGGCTTTGCGGATTCCTGAAGCCAATGTATGGACTCTCTAATGGGCCTCTGATCCCAGGACAGCACCCTAATCCATCCCTCCTAAACTGGGAGTCTTCCAGGATGCCCAGGTGGTGCAGCCTGATGGGGCAGCACAACCCGCTCGGAATAAGGTCCTTCATTCAGGGTATGTGGCTCGCTGGGACATGAGGCATTCACTTCATTTTTCCTTTACAGAGTTTGAGAGTTTATTGCTGGAAGGAACCTTAAAATATAACCTGGCTCAGGCTCATTTCTTTAGGCACATAAAATATTATCTTTACTCCCTTAAAAAATCAGTGGCTTGACCAAGGTCACAAGATGAATAGGCATCCAGCCTCCCATATTTTCTCTCTTTCTCCCATGAACCCAGGTCATCTCTTACTTTGCAAGCCACACGGTGAGGGCACAGCTTTCCAAAACCCAGTGGGGGCTGAATCCGCCGGAGCAGAGTCACCACATCTAGGTGTTTGATGCGGCCCCTAGAAGAGAAAGGAGAGGAGGGTAAGGTCAGTCAGGGGCCATGGTCTCAGCTAGCAGCCCAGGAGTCATGTACCTGAGAGGAGGGGGCCCATATATAGGAGGAAGTCTCCATAGCTGTAGCCCTATCACTCAAACTCAGTGCAGAGTTACAGAATTGCATGGTAAAACTCCAAAACCAACATATACAGGTTTAGACTTTAATGAGCAATGTTCCAGTGGTGCCATATTCACGGTGGAAAGGATTTTAGTAGTGCAATGAAATCCTCAACATGTGCTTGCTGCTTCAGTCAAATAACCATCTGACCAAAAGGTATTTATTGAGTGTTGACCAAATGTAATTGATTGCCCAGGGTATCCCTGGACCTGAGGCGGGAATGAAATTGAGATCTACCTGGCCCTAAACATCCTAACTTGAGCACCTACCAGTTATTCCTAACACTGGGATCTTCTATCTTTCCATTCAACTGAAAACAGTAGATATGTTCTTGCCTTAGCCAAAGGAACCTGGCCTCCTCATGGGGTTGGGTGCAATTCAGTGTTTCTAGTCAATCCACCCAGTGTTAACCTGTGTTGACACTCTTCTACAGGTATGGTTGTTTAGTCCTCTCTCTCAGCTTTAGGACTCAGGATTTCCCTGTGGGAACTTACTTGGCTTCAGGGTCATACTCTGCCCAGATTCTTTTAAATTCGTCCAGATGGTGGGGACCAAGGATTGACCAGTCCCTTGTAAGGTAGTCAAAGTTGTCCATGATGACAGCCACAAAGAGGTTGATGATCTGCAGGGAACAGATTATGATGAGTCACCTAAGAGGACCTTTCTACACACTTGCCACTTGAAACCACTTTGCTGGTGGCTCCATGCATGGCAGAAGCCAACATTTCTAAAGATCAGCCATATGTCACCATTGAAAATGCCAGCCCCTGGCACGTGGGCTCTTGGGTAGGAACTTGACGCAGCTCCCCTCAGAGTTGTGTGGATGAACCCACATGTGGGCTGGACAGCTTCCTTCATACCAGGCTGCTGGGTGGGGCCACCAAGGACAGAGGGCAACTCTATACATCACCTTTTCCTCATGCCCCATCCAAGTGCCAAAAAAGTCTAAGTTGCATCTAGGCCTCCACAGACATCTCCTCTGACCCCTGGGACAATGCCACCATGACAAGAGCCAAGAGTGAAAGAGCGATGCTGGTCGAGCTCACTCTGGCCCAGGCTTTCTTCTGCCTTTATCGCAGTGTGGCTGACATTCCTAGTAACGCAGTCTTCCACTGGGTTGGCCCTGACATGAGCTGCACAGATGGCGGGCTCAGGCTGCCCTACCCTGCATGCGCCTTCCCTGCAGCTGTTTAGTGCCCCCTCAGCTCACCAGGAAGGCACAGAGCATGTAGAAACTGATGAAGTAGAAGACGGCGAAGCTGCTGCCGCAGGGCGTCTCCCCTTCCGTGCTGTTGCCGGGCTCTGACTCTGGGGCGCACTTCTTCCCCGGCATGCAGGCCAGCATGATGTCCTGCCACGCCTCCCCGGTGGCACACCTGGAGCAGAGAGGAGAGAGAGCCCAAGACCCATGGACCAAGGCCACACTCAGGCTCCTTCCCCTGCCTTCTTTCCCAGGGGGAACAGCTAACTTGAATGTGGTGTTGATCATTCTCTGAATGCTCCGATATGTTCACTAAACATGAAAATATGTAGCATTATTTCGAATGTTTTAAAACATTATATTAATGGTAACAAACAGTACCTTTTCTGCAAACTCACTCTTTTCATGATCTACGTTAAGTGTTTGAGATTTAGCCATTTGGATGTGATTTTGTTCTATCTAGTTCATATTAATTGCTGTACAGATGTATACTCTATGAATATACTGTTTAAAAAATCCACCTCCCTGCTAAGGCTTTGCTTTTATTTATTTATTTATTTATTTATTTATTTATTTATTGCTGATATAAATAACACTGCAGTAAATACACAGGCCCGGGTCTAGGGCATCTGTTGCACGGCGGAAGTGCCAGCTGATGGTAGCTGTGTCTCCATCTTTGCCAGTATTGCTTGTTCTCCAGGTGTTCGTCCCGTGTATACTCCTGTCAGTAGGACAGGAGAAATGCCACTGCTGTACAGACTTGTCAGCTCTTTCTTTTTAGCTTATTGAGGTAAAATTGACAAATAAAACTGTAAGATATTTAAAGTGTACATTGTGGTGATTTGATATATGTATGCATTGTGAAAGGATCCCCCCAATCTAATGAACTCACCCATCACCTCACATATTGATCTGTTTTTGTGTCCGTGAGAACAATTAAGTTCTACTCTCTTAGCAAATTTCAGTTACACAATTCAGTGTTATCACTATAGTCACCATGCTGTACATTAGATCCTCAGACCTTACTCATCTTATAGCTGAAAGTCTGTACCCTTTTACCAGCCTCTCCCTATTTCCCCACCCCCCAGCCCCTGGCAACCACTTTCATACTCTCCGTTTCTATGAGTTTAGATTTGTCAATTCTTGGTATTAGTGAATTTTTTAAAATGTTGCTCATCTGATGGGTGTGAAATGATATTTCATTACTGTTTTAATTTGGTTTCAAAATGATTAATGGGACAAGAATTTTTATTTCATCTTCTGTTGAATTGCATGTTAATATTTTTGCCTGTTTGTCATGGGTTATTTGTCTTGTTCATTTGTAGGATTCTTTCTATATCTTTCTATCCTTCTTCCAGTCTGTGGCTTGTCTTCAGCTTTATTCATGGTGTGTTTTGATGAATCTAAGTTTTAAATTTCAATGTGGTCAGATTTATAATTTTCTCCTCTATGTTTTTTATTTTAAATTTATAATAATTTTATACATTTTTCCTCTGGTTCTTTTTGCATCTTGTTTAAAATGTTCTTCTCTAGTCTAGGTCATAAAAATATTACATGTTCTAAAAGTTCTAAAATTTTGTTTTTTGTAATAACCCATTAATCTAGAATTCATTTTTGTGCTCAGTATGAGATAGAAATATGCTTTCTCTTTTTCTGTATAGATAACCAATTTTTTAAATACAATTTATTGACTAGTCCATCTTTACCTACTGATTTGAAATAATTCTTCTGACATAAATTATATTTCCGTAGATGTGTGGGTCTTGCGCTAGCCTTTTCATCCTATTCCATAGGTTTATGTATCTATCCTGGTACCAATGTACCACATTGTCTTAATCAATACAACATTATAGTTAAGTCTTGCTCTGTCATGGAGAGTGATTCCTTCCAGCTTGTTCTTCAAAACTGTATTGGCTATTCATTTTCCTTTTCTATTCCACAGACACGGTAGAATCAACTTGTCAAGTTCCATGAATAATCCTCTTGAGCATTTTACAGAAATTGCATTAAAATATAGATTAACTTGGGAAATTTGACATCTTTGTGATATTAAGTCTCCTGGCCATGAACATGGCTCATCTCTCCATTTATGTAGGCCTTATTTCATGTCTTTTAATAAAAATTTTAAAATTTCCCCATATACATCTTTTGTTAGGTTATTTCTAGGTATCTCATTTAAAATAAATAAAGTGTTCTATTATAAATGGTAATTTAAAAAGTTATATTTTCTGTTTGCAGCTGAAGTAAAGGGAATATAATTGACTTTATATACAGAAGATTTGCTGAACTTTCTTATTAATTCTGTAGTTTCACTTGTATAATCTCCTTAGGCAATCAATTTTTTAAAAGATGTTTTATTTTTTTTATTGTAATAAAGTACGTGTAACCAAATTTACCTTCTTAGCAATTTTTAAGTGAACAGCCTAGCAGTATTAAATACAGTCACATTGTTGTTTAGCCATCACTACCACCCATACCCATAATCCTTTTCCTCTTGTAAAACTGAAACACTATGTCTATTAAACAATAACTCCCCCAGACCCTGACCATATATAAAGTATAACCACCATTATACTTTCCGTCTTTATAATTTTGACTAAGTACCTCAGTACTTGTATTTTTGTGACCAGTTTATTTCACTTAGAATAATGGCCTCAAGATTCATCCATGCTGTAACTTTTGCAGAATTTCCTTCCTTTTTAAAGGTTGAATACATACAATGGAATCATTGTATGTACATACCACATTTTGCTTATCCATTTATTGGTTGATGGACACTTGGGTTGCTTCCACATTTTAGCTATTGTGAATAATGCTGCTCTGAACATGGGTGCACAAGTATCTTTTTGAGACCGTGCTTTCAATTAATTTGGGTATATCCCAGAAGTGGAATTGCTGGACCATATGTTCATTCTATTTTTAATGTTTTGAGGAACCGTCATACTATTCTCCACAGTGGCTGTAGCATTTTATATTCCCGCTAACAGCGCACATTTTCCAATTTCTCCCCATTCCTCGCCAACACTTGTTTTGTTTTTTTTTGTTTTTTTCTTGATAGTAGCCATCCTAATGAGTGTAGTTTTGATTTGCATTTCCCTTGTGATTAGTGATATTGAGCATTTTCTTCATGTGTTCATTGCCCATTCATATATCTTCTTTGGAGAAATGTCTACTCAAGTCTATTTTTAAATTAAGTTGTTTGTTTTTTGTTGTTGAGTTTGGCAAGCAAGTTTTTGACTTTTAATTTTTTTTCCTTTTCCAATTCTTACCCTTTGATTTATACACACACACATATATATATATATATATATATATATATATATATATATATATATATATATAATCTTATTGCATTGCATAAAACTTGCAGTATAATGTTGACCAAAAAAAGTGATAGCATATGATCTTGTCTATTATATTTATTAGTTATTAGTTGTTATGGACTGAACGTTTGTGTTCCCCAACAAAGTCACATGTTGAAGCCCTAAAGCTCAATGTGATAGCATTTGCAGGTGGGGCCTTAGGAATTAATTAGGGTTAGGTCAGGTCATAAAGCTGGGGCTCCCACGATGAGCTTAGTGTCTTTATAAGAAGAGGAAGAGAGACTAGAGTGTGCTTCCTCCCCCCCTCTCTCTCTCTGTCTCTCCCTTCCTCCCTCCACCATGTGAGGACACAGCGATAAGGTGGCTGTCTGCAGGTCAGGAAAAGGGCTATAACTAGGAACTTAATCAGCCAGGACCTTGATCTTGAACCTCCAGCCTCCAGAAGTGTGAGAAAGAAATGTCTGTTGCTTAAAGCACCCAGTATGGTATTTTGTTACAGCAGGCTGACAAGCCTAACACATTATCAGTGCAGGAAAGTGATTAGGTTCTTTTGTTAATCTTCCACCTTACTGATCCTATTAATTTGTTACAAAGGCTTTTGAGTTCATTTGCTTGGATTTTCTACTTGGATTAGCTTGTTGTTTGTAAACAATGACAATTATTTCTACATATTTTTTTAATTTACACATTTTCATATTTCACTTCTTGCCTTTTTTCTTATTGGAATGACTGGGGGGTTCTCTACACATTTCTATTCCTGGAAAGTTTATGTAACAAAGGAATGATGTATTCCTTGGTATTTTGGTAGACATTATACATAAAAATATTGAATACATGGCCTTTTTGAGGACTAAAACTTTGACTACTTTTTCAATTTCTATTGTGGTTAATTAAAAAAAATTATTCTTAAGACAATTTTTGTGATTTGTACTTTCCTATATAAAAGCATCCACTTCATCTAGATTTTTCAAATATATTGGCATAAATTTCTTTTTAATATCCTCTTATTCTAAAAATCACTTCTGCATCTTTAATTATGTTGCTTTTCTTATTCCTGATGTTGCATCTTTTTTAAAAAAATGGATTTGAGGGAGCATTTGAGATCTTGGTTGGCTCAACGAAACTCTTCTAAAAATTCTCTGCAGGTTTGGATGTTTCATACATCAACATTTACTTGGTATAGTTGGCAGGGTTCTGAAGGAGCCCACCTAGGACCACCCTGCGGACCCAGATTGGGTGCTAGGTACAAGCAAGGGCCTGTTGTGCCCCACTGGCTCCCTGCTTCACGTAGGGTGAACTTGGGGGAGTCTTCTCTTGGAATTCTGGGCCTCATTGCTTTATGTAGCAGACCATGACTTTATTTGAGCTGTTTGTTCATAGAAAGTCTTTGAGGTGAATAAGGGTTGCGATAACCCAGGGAAAGAAAAAAATGGGTTGCTGGTTTTAAGGTTGGCTTTTTAATTGGATTGCTTACTGAGAGTCTGAACAATATCTTTCTGGTTAAATGACAGACTGAACTCTCTTCAGCTTTGAAAGAGAAAGGACACTTGCATCCCCAACCCGAATAGCCAATGGGGCAACAATAGCTGTTCAGATCCCTGAATCCAGGGTGGTGGAGGGGGGTGCTGGAAGTCATCCAGGGCGGTGGTAATGCACCTGATCCTGGAGAAGCTGGTGGTGGTCCAGGGAAGAAGGGCAAGGTGCCCTGAAATATGTTCACCCTGAGAAAGAGGGACCCGTACCTTGGAAAGCATTATGGTTCTGGTGGCATCCAGAAAGCTCTCGCTGGCCCTTGCTCAGGTGTTCTTAGGTGACTAAGAATCTTTGTGGGGTTACCTGAGGAAAAATTCCTGAGGAAGATTGTCTTTTCAAGTAATCAGTTTTCAGGTTTATTCATAAATATGTTTAAAAATATTTTATTAATTTATGCTTTTATTTTAATAAATGCATTCCTTCATACTTTGGGGTTACTTTGCTACTTCCCCCCATCAGTTTACTTACTGTACATTAAAAAATTAATTTTGGCTCTGAATTTTCCTTTGGTATTGATCAGTACAGCTCATAAATTTAAGATACTGTGCTCTCACTCTCATTTCTAAGTAGTTTGTAGGTTCAGCTCTGAGTTATTTAGAACAGTGACTCAAAACATTTAAGTGAATAGATTTTGGAAGGATTACTAATTTTATGGGTAATTTCTAATTTTTGCTGTATTGAAGTTATAGTTTAAGAATTTACTGAATTTTTCTTTGTGACTTAAATCTTGGCTAATTTTTGTGAATGTTTCTGGGTACTTAAAAAGGCAGTGGTTTTTGCTATTTATTGAGTATAAATTTATTAGATTAAGTGTGTTAATTGTGTTATTTAGATGTACTTTATCCTTTATTCTATTTTGTTCTATTTGATCTGTCTTTTTCTACAAGCTGTATCCAAGTCTCCCACTGTGTGTGTTCATTTTCTCCTCATAGTTCTATCAGTGTCTGATATATTTCCAAACTACATTGTTATGCTCATGTAGTTTTATGATTGCTATATATTCTTGGATTATACCTTTTATCAATATTGAATATTCCTCTTTGTCTTGTTTAATGCCTTTTGCCTGGAATTTTATTTCTTTTGATATTGCTCTTACTATACCAACATTTTTGGTAAGCACTGTCTGGTATTATTTTTCTATTCCTTTATTTTTATCCTCTTTAAGTCATTTTATTTTACTTTATCTATTATAAACAGTCTAGAGCTAGATTTCTTTTTTTCTTTGCTTTTTTAAAATAAGATTTTATTGGGGAATTGGGGGAGGGGAACAGCGTTGGGGAATTGGGGAAGGGGAACAGACAAGCTTCTGTCTTTTTGTTCTTCAGTTTAGTTGTGGAGGACGTTGCTTCACTGGCCCATGTTGGTATTATCATTGCGCTCTTCCTAGGTGACACCCTTTCTAGGGTGTCAGATGGGCACTTGTCTTATTCTGGTTCACAAATAACACTCTTTCATGTTTTGTTTTTTCTTCCTGGTACTGTTATAGGTTTATTCTTTTAAAAAAATCTTCCCTCATCTAGGACTTTAAGAAAGGAGAGGACACAGACCCATATGCTCAGTCTGCTATTTGTGTCTAATTCCCGTATTTAAATGTGACACAAGCTTAAGTGTTGTTAAATTGCAGTTGACAATGGCCCTTGCGTTCTCATAGCCTACAATCTGAGGGAGGTGGTGATGTCAGACTGACATTTAAGGGGCCTGTCATTTTGATTTGTATTAACATTTGAGCATATTTGAGCATCATTTGAGCATAATGATACTTGAGCTTGGGTGTGGGGAAAGGATTCTATAGAACATGGTGAAGGTGGAGCTGTCTGATAGTGTCCCTAAAACTTCCATAAAGGGGCCCCAGGGGATGGTAAAGGGCTTGCCGCCTCTCCCAGTGCAAAGCATGTGGAATCTGTGAACTAGAATGCCTTTAGAAATCATCTGGCCGAGGGTAGGGTAAATAGTTCTCATCTCCTAGCGCTGGACTAGATGGGGGTCTCAGGAAAGTGAGAAGAACCAAGGGAGCAGACCATGGGGTCAGTTAGGAGCCAGATGAGGAAGGAGAAGTAGGCTGCAGCGTGGATTCACTCACTCGCTCCTGGGCAGGCAGGAGAAACCCCGCCCTCTGGGCTATACTGCAGCATGGCCTTCCAAGAAGTGAAGGCGTGTGGCTTTCTTAGCTGGGGAGGAACCGAGCACACATGGACATAACCACCCAATACAGCAAATGGCATGGACATTGGCACTTGTACTAGCTTTATGAGGAAACTGAGGCTCAGAGAAGTTAGATGTCTTACTCGAGGTCACAGAGCAAGTTTGTTGTAGGCTTGGCTTTGAGCCTGTTCAGATTCCAAACCAGGGTGCTTTCAGTATTTGACTTTTCATCCCCTAGTGGTTTCAGGTGGTCACAGCAGCTGTGTCAGTGTCCAGTGGGCTGCTTGATGGGAAGTTATTATAAATAATGATGAAATGACCAGCTTCCCCATCAGGGGAGGGAGAACCAACATCGGTTCTCTCCCTGCACACTTCCCTCTCATTCTACATCCAGGCCCTAGGGCTGCATCATGCAGGTGTGTCTGTGTGCACCTGTCCACAGAGACCCACCTGAAGAGCAGCAGCACAGCTTGAGGGAAGGTCTGAAAGTTGTTGTTCCGGTTTATCTCTGTGGTATCGTTCAGAGCAATTTTTCCAAACACCTGGAGGGGGAGAGGAAAGGGATTTCATAAATCGTGGACAGAGAGTGTCCTAGTTTTCACCCATCGTTCAATGGTTTCTTCAGGGGTCACAGCTGATCCTGGGACAGGCTGGCCTATAAGGGGAGCAGAGTCCCCAGATGTAAACTGGCAGGGCCTCATGGGGACAGGCAGCTGCTGCCCTGTCCAGCCCCGATCCCAGTCCCTCACACTGGACAAGTGCAAGAAGAAACTGCCCGTGGGCCCTCCGGAGAGGACCCTGTGGCCCAGCGGGAGCTGAGGCTGAGAGCAGCTGGATGCTGAGATCAGGGCCCTGCTTCTGTGCAGGGACACAGGGCTCATTGGCCTTTTTCTTTCTTTCTTTTTTTGGCTGCACATTCTTAAGAATATTTTTCTCTTTAAAAAACTTTATTGAGGAATAATTAACTAGTATAATTGTATATATTTAAAGTGTACAATGTGGTGATGATGTGATGATATACATACACATTGTAGGATCTTTACCAAGACCAAGGTAATTGACACATCCGTAACCTCACAGATAACTTTGTTTTGGTGCAAGGATGCTTAAGACCTATTCTCATATGGAACTACATCAACCTAAAAAGTTTTTCACAGCAAAGGAAACCAGCAATACAACAAAGCATCCTACTGAATGGGAGAAGATATTTGTCAATGATACATCTGATAAGGGATTAATATCCAAAATGTATAAAACACTCATTCAACTCAACACCAAAAAACAAAACAAAACCCAAACAACCCAATTAAAAAATGGGCAGAGGACATGAGACATTTCTCTAAAGAGGACATACAGATGGCCAACAGACATATGAAAACATGCTCAACCTCACTAATCATTAGAGAAATACAAATAAAAACCACAATGAGATACCACCTCACTCTGGTCAGGATGGCTATTATCAATAAATCAACAAACAACAAGTGCTGGCGAGGACGTAGAGCAAAGGGAACATTTGTGCACTGCTGGTGGGATTGCAGATTGGTGCAGCCACTATGGAAATCAGTATGGAGGTATCTCAAAAAACTGGAAATGGATACTGTATGACTCAGCAATTCCACTCTTAGGTATCTATCCAGAGAAATCCAAAATGCTAATTCAAAAAAAATATATGCACCCCCAATGTTTATTGAGCGCTATTTACAACCAAAATGCCCATCAGTAGATGACTGGATTAAGAAACTGTGCTACATTTATACAGTGGAGTATTACTCGACCATAAAGAAGAATGAAATCTTACCATTTGCAACGATATGGGTGGATCTAAAAACTATTATGCTAAGTGAAATAAGTCAGATGGAGAAAGACAAATACCATATGATCTCACTTATTTGTGAAATCTAAAGAACTGAATACATGAGCAAAGTAAACAGAAATAGTCTCAGAGATATAGAGGAAAAACTGATGGTTGCTAGTTGGGAGGGGGTGGGGGTGAGGGAGAAGGGGAGGGGATTAGAAAGTACAAATTGGTCTTCACAATATTGCCACGGGGATATGAAAGATAGCTTGGGCAACATAATAATGTTGTAAAGATTTTCTAGGGTGTCAGATGGGCACTTGCCTTATTAGGGAGACCACTTCATGGACAGCATAGATGCCTGACCACTGCACTGTACACCTGAAGCTGAAGCTGAATTATATTGAACGTCAACTATAATTTAATATATATTTAGTCACAGGATATGGAGTAGAGCACAGGGAATAGAGTTCATGGAATAGTGATAGATATATATGATGTCAGAGGGGCAACAGATTGGGGGAGGGGGGTTATCATTATGGGAGGGGTAAAATGTCTAACTATTACATTGTTTCATACACCTGAAACTAAAAAAACAAAACAAAACAAAACAAACAAACAAACAAAAAAACTTACTCTCAGCAGCTTTTGAGTACATACTACTGTATCATTATTAACTGTGGTCACCATTAGAGCCTCACAGCTTACTCCTCTGGCCTTCTCTTCTTTGCCATTTCAGCTCTGTATGCCCAATCACTTTTCCAAATTTAGTTCTTGGATTCTGGAGTGAGGTGGAATAAGCAGTCTGGGGCTTGGGCAAGTTTAATGCATCCTTGAAATCAGAGGCCTCTTTCCCCCTACCCCCCAGACTTTTAAAGCTATGCTTATCTTAGAAACTGCCACCTTTGATCAGTGGCAAGTCAACTCCTTTCATCTCAAAAGATTTTGGCCTATGAACCTTGGGGTCTTTCTGCAATGAGCACGTAGAGAAATCTTACTTAAGCAGCTGCTGTCTAAGGAGGAAAAGCTCCTGCCTAGTGTGCCGTGCTGGGCTGGGCTGTTCTGCTGGAAGCCAGAAGGACTCTGATTTGGGGTAGGAGAAGGTGCAGTGGGCACTGTGAGCCCCTGGACACTGCCGCATGTTTGATGGGGGAGCTTGCCTCTCTCCCTCCTGAATGACACTGGATTGGTGTAGTTCTCAGGCTCATCAGATTTGTACAAAGGGAGGGATGCCGGCTGACACACGCTGCTGTTTCCTGAGAAGGACAAGCCTCTCATGAGGTCCACTGCATAACCTGGGAGTGTTTTTCTGAGAGCAAACCCAGGCCTGGGGCAATGTGGACAGAGCTCTCTGAGCTGTGTATTCCGTTCTTGGCCATTCACCCTGCTACCTACAGGATACCATTTGGGGGGAAGTTCCAATTCCTGGGAACTTTTTGGCCTCAGAGGTGACAGGGGGAGAGGGACAGTCAGGAGCAAGAGAGAGGTGAGAGGGAGGAGGGCGTCAGGGTGTGTGGGCAGGAACTGAGAAGAGGAGTGGGAGGCAGAGGAGTGGAGCCTCACGGAGCCGGTCCTACCTGCATCCCGATCACTGCATAGATGAAGAACAGCATCACTATCAGAAGGGCCACGTAGGGCAGGGCCTGGGAGGAAACACAGGAGACTGCGTGAGGCCAGTGGGGACAGCTGGCTGGACCCCTTCCCAGGGCATTGTGCCTGCAGTCACCAGCTGCTGCCTGGCTTCAGGGGCACTCCTAAGGGCCCTTCAGAAGTTCTGGGCTCCTGGGAGAAGGCCTGAGTCATGGCATTGACCCCTCATGACCTGGTTTTAACTACCTACCTAAGAAGCAGTGCAGTGTACTGAGAAAAGCAGGTTGCAGAGTAAGGAGAAGTGTGATATTACTTAGTAAAAACAATAAAAAATGAGCAAAACATCCTCCGACTAGACATACATCTTCATACAGCAAGGAGAAAGTCATGGAGGACACACACCAAGGCTTCCTGCGGAGGCAGAGGTGGAGGCACGTCACACCCTTCCTTGGCTCCACTAGTTGTAATAAAAACACGTACTAAGGAAACCTTAAATAAAAGAAAGATCATGGGCTCAAATCCTGTTTCTGCCACTTTCTAGCTATGGGAACTTGGGCATATTACTTAACCTCTCTGAGCCTCAGTTTCCTCATCTGACAAATGAGAAGAGTAACAGTGATCTCTCAGGGGTTTTGTGAAGTTGAAATGATTTAAGGCTTATAAAATGCCTTGTGCATTGCCTTGCGCATAGTTTATTCACTCAAGGTATTATTTGCCCAGCAGCTCAGACAACTTAATTTCCAGAGCCCTTGCCGCTCTCTTGGGGAGAGGCACCTGGGGCTCAGCGCCAGTGATCCAGTGGGGAGACCTGCACGTGCGCGCCCAGGAAATGCCTTGCCAGGCGCCTGCCTGCACACCACTAGATGGCACTGCGAGATCATACGGATGCTTGTCGCGTTGGCGCTCCAGCTCCACATTCAAGAGCTGCTCCTCACAGTCACCGGGTCTGTTGCCTCTTCTTAGCCCAAAATGTTGGGGGTGGGTGAGTATGTTTGGGCCTATATGGTCATTCACGGCTGTGGGATTCCAGGGGTGCACCCACGGACAAGGTCAGCCCAGTCCAGCTCCCACCAGAATCCTCAGGTTCCCGGGGACTGAGCTTGGCTCAGGGTGGGGTGAGGGGGCGTGGCAGGGAGGGGCCCTTGGCTCATCATTAGGTGGGGAGTCAGCATGGGCCTGGTGGGAGGAGGACGGGCTCTGAGTGCAGAGTCCTTATGTGCTGGTCCAATCATGGCCTCTGATGAGGTCCCAGAGCAGGAGGCTGTCTGCAAGGGTGCCTACGCCTTTGGGTGGGGTTCCAAAGCAAGCAGGCACCTGACAACAGCGCCCCCTACCTCTGGCTGGAAATTTAATTACAGCACAGTTGGATCTGGGACCCACTCCATGCCAGTCCCTGGGCCCAGACTCAGCAGGGCAGGGGACACGGAAGGAATTCTTCGGTGCTGGTGAGTCTCCCTGTCTTGGGAAACCTGAGAGCAGTGCTTCCATGGGCAGGAGAAGCTGCCCTAAATGTCAAGACAGGGAAGCCTGGAAGCACATGGAGGGGTCCCTGCCCGACTCATCTTCAAGGAATTCAAGTGACCTGACAGAGCTTTGCTTTTCTTTAACTTCAAATTTACATAACACTCCTCACAGATGGCCAGAGGCCATCATTATTCTGCTTTTACAGTTGGATGGCTGAGGAAAGAGAATTAATCCTGTAGTTGGGCAACCCTGTGTCTATTCAAAGGGACCATCTCTCCTTGAGTGGAATGACACCAGGGTCATGGAGAGTTGGCTAAGTCCATAAATAGATAGGGACAGCAGACACCGCTGCAGTGCTTACTGGGAGGAAGGTGACAGCCAGATTCTTAAAATGCCAGAACTGGGAGGGGCTATGAGGGTCATGTTTTTCAAATTTGTTCTGCCATAAAAGCCCTTTGTGCAATCAATTCTTGCAGAAAAATACATAAACAAGAGAAGAAAGCAGAATATTCAGTCTCCCCCTTAGCTCCCAGCCTTCCCTACCTGACTTGAGGATATCTGGGGCTTCAGAAGCATGCTTTTGAAAACCACAGATCGGTCCAACCAACTCATTTCAGACGTGAGGAAAGGAAGGTGCTTTCCAAGGTAGGGGAGCTTGCTGTCACCCAGTAGTGAGCAGCAGAGTAAGCCCCATCTTGACTCCTAGATGCTTCTCCTTCCTTTACTGTGTCACCTCCCAACTAGGAAGCCCTGGTGGAAGCTGGGTGGAGCCCCTGGGCAGCCCTGCCACCCAGGAGAGGAAAGGTTCTTCTGCTTCTGCTGTGCTCGGGGCAGAGGTGGCTACCTGGAAGGACTTGATGAAGGTCCAGAGCAGGGTCCGGATGCCCTCCCCACGGCTCAGCAGCTTGACCAGGCGCATGACCCGGAAGAGGCGGAAGAAGGTGATGGAGATGCGGGAGTTCTCCTCTGCATTCTGGAATCCATTGGCAATACGAGGTGGTAGTTAACACCGCAACAGGGATGGGTAGGGCAGGGGCAGGAGCGGGGGGCCTGCTCAGAGCAACACAGCCCTTGGCTGGGCTGAAGCCAGCTCAGGGCAAGGTTGGCTGCACTAGACTCTCTGCACAGATGGGAGGCCACCCGCCTGCCTTCCCCAGGTAGACAGCCCAGCCTGAGGTCTCTGCAGTCAAGCTGTGCCCAGGCCCCTGAGCCCATGTCACTTTTCCTATTTTCCCCTCTTCCCCTTCTTCCTAGTTCTTGAGCTCTTGGGTGGAACAACAGAAGATTCCTTGAGGAACTTCCATTTGCCCTGAAATCTAGGCTGGGGGCAGCATCTAAGGGGGTGCCCTGCCTCAGCCACACACTGAGAAAGCACCCCTGGCCTCCCTCTGGCCAGCACAGCTCAGGGTCCTGCATCCTGAGCTGGCTGGGTGGGTCGTGGTTCCCATCTCAGCCGTCTGGGTGATTGCACTGGGCGTCCTGGTGGGCAGGGTGAGCTGCCCACTGAAGGATCTGTGTGTTGACTGCTCAGGACTCCAGCACTTCTGTTGTGTCACCTGCTTCTCACAGCCCCTGCCTCACATGGCTACCAGGAGGAGGGAATGGGGTGTTGCTTAGTGCGGGGCCAGTGTTTGGTTTGCAGCTTTTGCCTCCTGTTGGGCTTTGAAGCTGTTCCCCTTCTCTTCCCTTCTGCCCCGAAGGCTCTAGGAGGCAGCCCCCTCTCCAGGCTACATGAGACCCTGGGAGGGGTGGGGGCACAGGCAGGGGGAGGTAGGGAAGGCAGTCAGTCGGAGTGAGAGGACCAAGGGGTCATCTCCTCAGGGGAGTCCTGGAGGTTGAGGCCTGGGGCCAGGGGAAGAAGGATGGAACTGAGGCCGTGGCAAGCTGAGGTGGGAATTTGGCACTAGGCTGCTGAGGGCTTGCCTGCTGAGGGCTCATCTTGGTCTGTTGGACCTGGAGGGTCCTGGGCTTGGGCACGTGCTTGGCCAGGGCTCGGGGGCAGGACAGGCTGCCCTGTCACCCTCTGCCTCCAGGCCTGAGAAGAACACTGACTCACCCCCTCAACCCTCATCCTGCCCACACCAGCCAAAGAACTGAGGTTGGTGACCCCAGGAGCCACCCCCCTGCTCCCCGGAGCTAGTGCAGCTCACCCGGCCCTGTTAGCATCACACCGGGAGAGAACGGACCTTCAGGTTTCCAGTTACTGTTCCTGTCACTGCCTCCCTCAGCAGGGAGTTGTCTCCGGGTCGTTGCTGGCACCCTGCATTGGCCCTCCCCACTTCTCAGTTCACTTGTCTTCCTTTGTTTTTAATCATTTATAGGTCAGAGCCTCCCTGACACTATCTGTGCCTTGTCTGCACCCAAAAAATCCCACTAACATGAAAGCCCTGGAGGGCTCTCACAGGCCCTTTGTCCTAACCCTGCTGACTGTCACTCATGTGGCTGGTGGCTCCAGAGACCACTCATCTCACTCCTATCATAATGGGAGGCCCATGAGAGGGTGGGGGGATTCAGGGGCAGCCTATCCATGTCAGTGTGTCCTGCTTGCTCTGGAAGGGCTGCACAGAAACCAATTGGAAGGGTCTGGCTAGTATTCAGACTGTCCAGACGGGAAGAGTCACAGCATTTCTTCTCTACCCAAACCAGAGCTGTCTGTGATCCTCACAGGGCTCCTGTGCCCTCAGGCAGGGCGGACTTGTGGGTGCTGCAGGAGCTTGGGAAGCAGGTGAGGCCCGCGGCCCGCAGTCTGCTTCCTACCCCGGGCCCTACCCTGCCATGTATTTGGAAGTCTTTGGTGCCCTTAATCTTTGCATTTCTATCACCTGTGTATCTCCTTGAAATTCTATTTTCTCTCCTTAAAAGGAGGTTGTGTTCCCCCAGAGGAGTATGCAGAGGAGGCTCAGGGTTTTATAACTCAGCTGTCAGTTCCACCATGTTCAGGAAAGGAGAAAAAAGAAGAACAAAATTAAGTAGGGAACTTCAGCTGTGAGTGTCAAGAGTTTGAGAAGTTGGGACCACAAGGGCATCTGGTTCTGATGAGTTAAAAAAGGAAAATCAATCTTACAGTTTGAACTCCCTCTGGGTTCAGCACCCTCCCTGGTTGCTCCAGGAGAATAAATATGTTTCCATTCGGACATGACAATTTCCTCTAATAAACTGAATGACACTGCAGTGAAGAAGCAGATCCCAGTGGCTGTCCCTGCGAAGTGAGGAGAACACACAGGTCCAGCCTTGCCCTCGGCAGCTTCCAAACAGCCTGGGTTGGGTATGCCGGAAAACATCACTGATCCACCCAATCTGGCCTTGTCTGCTGACTCCTGGGGCTCAGGGAATCAACCCACTCGCTAAATGTGTGACGGCAGCCTTTTGGAGAAGGCTGTTCCAAGGAGACGTCAAGGTCACACCAAGTGGCATCTCTATCACTTAAGCCAAAGTGAATCAGACTCACATTAGGAGTGGTCTGATCAAACAAGTTAGTTTTTCTGCTGCAGAAAAGTGGGTATAGCCTATTAATGAACTTCAGGAATTTAGAAAAATTCACAGGTAGTATTGTTGGAGTGACTGGAAATTCAACCACACTTTCAGTAACAAATCCCAAATTAAACCTTTTCCTGTGACCTTGAACTCAGAGCACAAGGGAGGCCAGTCCTTATAGACACTTGATGATTAGAAGGAAGTCATCATCTGCCTTTCCACCTTCTGGCTAGATTATCTCCCTCTTCCCTCTTTTCCCAGGAGGCCTTAAACGTGGTTCTCATAGGTGCCCTGTGCAAATTTCCCACATCAAGTTAAGGCTAGTCACTTTAGCCAGTGGAGTCCTCAGGATGTTTAACAGGAAATGGCCCTTGGGTCCAATTCTCTCCCAGTGGCTCTTTAGATAGTCAAGATCACAGTGAATTACCACCCAAAGGAAAGCTCAGGGAGGGCTAAGAACACCATTACACAGACAGCACGTCACAGCTCACACGAGACCAGGCAGGTGAGGTGCATGACAGACACGGTGGTTACATGCAAATGAGCCAGGCTGGGCTCCGGGAGACCCTAGGGGTCAGGTGGGTAAGAGTGGGGATGTTAGAGGAGGTCACAGAAGCTGAGGGCATGGTCTGGAGGGTTGGTCTTACCATAAAGGGAGAGCATTGGGTATGTTCAGCTGGCTTTAAAGAAAGGCAGATAGAGATAAGCTGTAATGAGTCTCCAACGAAGATGCCGGTACGCTAGGTCTTGGCTAACACAGGAGCAACACAGTGGCAGGAGAGGGCAAAAGGAAACAAGTGAAAGAAATACAAAGCATAGCCTGGCAGGTTCTGCGCCATGAGTGTAGGCTCTGCATACATCTATCAAGGACCATCTCTGGCCACAAATAATTCACACCTGTGATAAATGAGGTCTTCTGGACTTTGTGGATGGAGGTTTTGGTTTTGAAATCAGCCATGTGTCCTAAGATAACCTCTGAAGGTTTAGACTTTTTGCACTCTAGCTTTACCCCAAGCTGAGGCTCAGGTGGGAGACGGTCCTGCTTAGCTACTAGTCTACAGGTGTGAGGAACCTTGGCCATGGCATGAGATAATGAGTGTGGAATTGTTTTTTAAATTTGAAAGCCCTGTGCACAATTTGTCATATGATCATTAACACCCTAAGAAGCTGTTCTCATGGGTCTGACTGCTGAGCTCATTTTGGGGCTGTAACTGTGGAAACTGGCCACAGGTGAGTGAGTATGCCATGGCAACTCTCTGCTCCAGCTCCCTGAGCCCGTGTTGGGAAGTTGCCCCTGCTCTCTGGGCCCCGGCACACAGAGCTCAGCCCCTGACTGATCCTGACCACCTGAGCTGGTAACTCTAGAAGGTCATGACTTTGCTTTTACCCTCCACTTTCAGATGGTTGCTCTTGTGTTTCTGTTGTTAAGGTACAAACAAGGAAACGTGTGATGGAATTTTTGAAGGATGGAAATGTGCACAGCTAGACATTTGCTTGCAGACTGAAAATACTCCTTCACAACAGATTTCTCAGCAAATTCCTTTTTTCCCTAGCAAATGGGTAGGATGTCTTTTTCGGGAATGGTGGAGATATAGGTGAAGCAAGGGATGAAAAGGAAAGGGATGCCTCTCCAGTCATTTACAGAGCATGGTCTAGATCTCAGTTTCTGCTTCTTGAGGAATTCTAGCTGCCAGGTCAATCCACGTGCCTGGAGGGTGTGGGCTCACTAGAATTTGGCTAGCAGGCTGCAATAAAACATGGAAGCTCACAGAGGCGTGCGTGTGCACGCGCACACACACACAGGAAATTTCAGGATGGTCAAGTGCTGTGCTCCTGTGTTAACGGATATGGAGGTCTTTGTTTCTAGGGCTTTAATGAGGGAGGGAGTGTGAGGATCAGACAGAGGTCACACTACACTACGTATTATGCCAGGCATTAGGCAGAGTTCCCAGCAGGCTTGGGCCATTGCTCCCCTCTTGGGTCCACCCTGAAAACTACCAAAGCTGCCTACTATTAAGAACCCAGGGCAAATACTTGATGGTCTTTTGGTTCGATCCCATCCTGAACAAGACCAGAATGGAGATAATTTAGAGAACCCACCTGGTCACCTGGTCCAATTGAATAGCGCCCAGCCATTTAAAAATTTAAACTACTTGTTTTATTTTACTTCTTAAACATTCAAAATCCCTCATTTGGGGTTTTTAAATGTCTTCACTGTCTTCTTTCTTGTTGATTTTTAGCCTTTTAGAGATTCTATTTAAGATCTCATCTACTTAAGTCATATTTTAGTTCAAGATTTAGCTTTAAGTCTATTCTAATCACCTCAATCGTATCTTATTATTTTAATAATATGTATTATTTTAAGGATCCTCACGCTTCGTCTCTGTACCAGGAGACAGGAAGCAGTCAGGAGGGGCTGTGAAGGCAGCAGTGAGTGGGAGCACGGGCCTCTCACTTTGTGCTTAGAGTGCTCCAGAGACTCTCACTGTGGGAGAAAGGAGACTCACAGATTAATTTTTTTCTCGGGCTTAAGCCATGCTTTTCAAAGGGCACTTTTGACTTGCTGGAGCAGCGTTGCCTGTCAACCTCTCAGACAAGTCTGTTCTAATGTGAACAACCATGTTTATAAAATCCATGGTCTCAAAAATAACTAACTATAACTATATAAAATCAGACAGCAATCACAAAGTGATTTCTAAGTGGGACCAATATGAAGAAGCCCAACACACAGCCCTTGCTCTTGAGAACCCATGGTCCACTGATACACTGCCAGCTCCCAAGGGGCATTCCTAGAGGACCCGGTGTAGTCGTTCCTGTCTTGGGTCTCCTTGCTCAGCTGAGAGTGGAACTCCCTGGTGAGCTAGAAGGGGAGCCTGGACCAGCCGGACTTGGGCACCTGCACTCTCAGCCCAGAGACGTATTTGTGTTGTTTGTCACTCTCATGACCCCCTAGTACAATGTCTTGGAAAACTACCTAGCATTAGATCTACTGTTTGAGCTAAATTCAGAATTAGGCGGTAGCCTAGAGTACTTGTGACATCCATCTCTGTCCCTTTCCCAGATTTGCTCCCAGGTCCCCCAAGTTATCTTATAGTTTCTCCATCTGAGGTCTTTCTGGGGAAGAGAGGTGGTAAGACTCCTAAGACTTATGCCCCAAGAGCCTGGGCACCCTGACTGTGCTTCCCTCCCATAGGAGACAACACAACTGCTTACCTCCCCCGAACGTTCTGGCCGAGCTTTAATACGGCGCTGTATCCACTAATGGTAGGTGTGGAGTTAATTTTTGAGCAGCCAATTCTTTCATCTTTGTTTTCTAATGACCTGGTAATTTTCAGGGGATTAAAGATATTGGGGCAATTAATTTGTTCATGCAATTGGCATAAATGGAATAAGGTGATTCCTCCATGCACGAGGCAGAGGCTAGTGGTTCCAGCTAAAAGACTAAGGGCAAATAGAAAGGAAAAGCCAATTAACTTACTTCAGTATACTTATGCAGATTAGCTTAGTTTGGTATCCTTGGCAGTGATGATAGCAGTGGCTCTGCTCTGGGCAGCTAATAAGAGAGATTCTCTGGAAAACTGTCTTTCTGAATGAAGTTCAGGATCAAATTGAAGTGTCACCTCAGTGGATGAGTCTTTGTTTCTGGAATTTACTCACTGTTCCTGTTCACCTTGTTACTATCTTTAGACCACACGAAGGATGCTCAGGGAAACTCAGGGGATACCAGAGGCTGGCAGAGAGAGGGTTCTCCTAGATGGAAGGATTTCTCAACAGGATGGATATGACAATCAGTGGAATGTGCTTCCCAATTGTTAACATTCCATTGTCTCTCTGGAGAACTAAAAGATTGTTGAAAAACGTCCTTCACCTTATAAAAAAAGGAGGGACTTTTCCCTCCCCTTTTTTTTTTTTTTTTAGCACAGCAAGAGGCAAGGATTACTAGGGATTTAGGGGCTAGGTAGGAGATATCTAAGGTCAAAACCAAGTTGTCTTCCAGAATATTCTCTTGAGGTCAGTTGATTAGAGAGAATTGTGAAGAGATCATAAGCCACTGCTATACCCTCTAGGACATGTTGACTTTGAAAGGTGCAGACTACCTCTGACACCCTCCAGGGAAGGCTGGTCTTGGCTGAGTCATGAACAGGCCCCACAGAAATGGACTGCCCAATCCCAAAGGCTGCCATTGGGGCAATGGCTATAATATCAGGGTCACTGAAATTCCTCTAAAATATGAGTCAAATGCAATGTTATGGGCACGTGTGGGTCTTTCATTGGCTACCCTGCTACAGAACACTTGCTTTTTTTAAAAAAAATCTCTTGTCTAGAACTTAGGGAGAAGATGTGATACCAATTCCATTCTACACCTGAAGGTCTGGGTCCAGCTGGCATGCCCCCCCCCACCTCAAGCTCTGCTTCTCTGTTTTCACTGTCACTACTCTTGTCTTAATCTGATCTGCAAGACAAGATGGCTAGTTCAGTTGTGAGAGTGCCATGGTATGGTGGGAGGCCGAGGGGTTGGGGCTTTGGTGAGACCCCAGTTAGTCTAGGGTGGGTGGACAATTATCAGGCTGGGAATTACCAGGCTGAGAACTGGGAATGGCAGGAGCCAAGGGCTTTTAGAGACATTTTACATCACCTTCATGGCCAGGGCCAGCAAATATCAGTTACAGTGGGGAGTCCTCATTATCCTTTCATCTCCTCTTTCAACCAGGAGAAATGAACATCCTAGGAACTAGTGTGGCTTTATAGATGTGGAGGAGTTGGGAGATGCTGAATCTTAGAGCCACCAGAGATGGCAGCAGGGAAATAAATTTTCAGGAGGCCAAAGTAAAATATGTCTTAAACTGTAACCTTCTAAAGTTACATGAAGAGCTTCCTTGCTAAGGAAGATGCAAAGTTTAAACAAGCACAAGTCACCTGGGATGTAGAGAAGCTGAGAGTAGATGTCAATGGCTTTCAGATATAAGGGCAAATAACGGAAACATGGTAGTTGAAAGTAATTCTTAAGCAGTATTTCCATTTTGGTCAGGTGTGAATGGAGAAATGGACATGGATCTGTGGAGGGGAGTAGTAAGAAGAGGAAGATGGGAGAATTATGAGCGAGGCAGAAATGCTGGACAGAAAAGAGCAGGGAACAAATGAAGCTAAGCTCAAAGATGACAAGGTGCTGAGTGGAAAGAATGGCACTGCTCCTTCCCCCATGCCCACTATGTTGAAACTCCCTGGCTTGTATCTGCTTTTCCAAAGAAAATTTCTAGCCAGAAGGAGACTGACTGGCTCTCCTGAATCTTTGTGGCTAAAGGCACCCAGATGAAATGCCCCTTCAGAACTGCCCTCGAGGTGGTCTTCGGCCCCAAGGGGACACGTAGAGAGGTGCAGAGCATGGAGGTGGACGTTTATGGCTCACCTTGCTCTCCTGTCTCTGTGTGCTAAACTGCAGAAGGTGGACCGTGGTGACCAGCCTGTAGTGTGAGCTGCCCTGTGACTGGCTCATGCGGCTGGAAGCAGCCGAAGCTGCAGGAGTCACTGTGCTATTCATCTGCAGCCTGATATCTCTCCATGTGCTTTTCTTGCCAGAAACTGATGCTAAACAGGACTGATGACCCAATTGCCAGGGTAGTTTCATCCTCCCTTGGGAAGGACAGCTAGTGTCCAGTCGTTCAAACAAAAGAAACCCATA